GAGAATAAAGGAGGGAGAGGGAAGAGGCAGTGGTAATATTCAGCTACCTGACCTGGGCAGTTGGGTGAATATAATGCTACTCATTGAATGCTGCATGAGGAGTAATTTTGGGTGGTGAAGGGGGAGAAGGTAATGAGTTTTGAACAGATTGAATTTTGAAGTTGATAGGATAGCCAAAGAAGTGGCCATTATGCAATAGGACCTATCAGTCTGGAGCTCAGGAGGTTCGAAATGTGTGTGAAGACAAAGAAGTCTTTAGTGTCTGGACTGCAATTAAAGCAATAGAAACAGATGCCATCACCAGGGGGCAGCGCGTAGAGTGCGAAGGGAAGAGAATTATCTAACAATTTCAAGGGTGCACTTAGTCCAAGAGGCCAATCCTTCTTCTAAATACTAGGCAAGAGGAAGAACTGAAGAGTTTGATTAGTCTAAAGCTATTCTGTCATTCCTAACCCCTCCCAACCCTAAGAATGTTCCTGCTGCTGTTAGTTCTGTCATTGTCACATGGTGACATCATTGAAAGTGGGGGTTCTATGCAATCCAAAGCGCGCTTTTCTTTTTCCAGTGTTACAGTAACACACATTAATTCATGTTATGCTGGGCCCAAAGTCTATCTTCCAAGGTTACTTTTCTTTAGAATGCATTTATCTGCTTGGTCTACCCTGACCTCCAAAAAGCTCTTCCATCAGTGAGTATTTCCAGGGTAGGGGTATCTTTTGCAAATAAAGGGAGGCCAGGTTGTCCTCTCTTACCAGGGCGCTGAACACAACTATGTATGTTTAAGTAACTAACAGTTACTGCAGTGTTTCTTCCAGAAGAAAGAAACTCTTTTTCAAGGCAGCTTGTTGCTTGCATCATGTCAATAGCAACTTCTGCTAAAAACAAACAAAAAAACAATTCTGCTTATCCAGGTACTCCAAAACATTGTAATATTGATGAGGAGGGACCAGGAAAAGGAAAGGATGAAGACTTAAGAGAGGAGGGGTGAGGACTAGAGCAAGATCCCTGACAGCATGAGGCAGTGGGATCCCAGCACATGTGGGAGGGGTTAGTCTTGACAAGAGATTTGCTTCTCCCTTCTCAAGGAGGGAAGGGTGGTTGTAGTTACAGATGTGTGATGATGGGTTTGTGAATAAGAGATAAGCTCCATTTCCCTTATTTTCATCTGTGGACAGGAAGCAAGGTCATTTGCTGACAGTAAGGAGGTAATGGGTAAGGGTGGGTTTCAAAGATTTGAGAATGGGTGGGTTTGGGTGAGCCACTGAAGAAGATGGGAGAGAATGCTGACCTAGAATAAATTGGGCTTAGAACCAGCATTTGGGGCCCGGTGGAGGCTGACATCCTTGAATTCACATGCCATTTTCTCAGCTTTGGATGAATTTTCTCTCAGCATACACTAGTTTCTAACTGGCTCTGTGCCTTTCCTGACTTGCTACCCAGGACCCCCACCCCTTCTTCTCCCACTTGGGGAATCATTGAAATCCAAATGATGTTACTATAGAAATGACCCTGAATATGTGTTTTTTGTTTGTTTCTGAGGCAGAGATCAGCATGATCGCAGCTCACTGCAACCCCCACTTCTCTGGCTCAAACAGTCCTCGAATATCAGCCTCCTGAGTAGCTGGGACTACAGCCACATGCCATCACACCTGGCTAAGTTTTGTATTTTTTGTAGAGATGGGGTTTTTCCATGTTGCTCAGGTTTGTCTTGAACTCCTGAGCTCATGTGATCTGCCTACCTCTGCCTCTCAAAGTGCTGGGATTACAGGCATGAGCCACTGTGCCCAGCCCGAATGTGTTCTGAATGTTCAAAAACAAATAATATATTAATGTCAGAATGTTGATATTTAACTGGATTTTGTCCCTAATATGTTGAGAATTGCCATTCTAGAAGCTTCCTCCAGTCTGGCCTATAGTTCCAGAATCCTGGACTAACCCTGAATCCCACATTTCAGGTGTTCATTTGATATAAACAATGTTGGGTTTTCTCTTAGGACATGTAAAACCTGATTAGTCAAATGGCTCTGTTTCTTTTCTCTGTTCTGCTTTTAAAATTGGTAATCTTTTCAGATGGTTGAGTCTTTCTTTTTTAGGCAGCAGTTTTTTCTAACATGCCACTAGTGAGATTCATCATCTTCAGTGTGTCATTTAAAAATTGTTATGCTAAACATCTGACATACTCTTTTTGTTTTATCTCTTGGTATGTTAAATAGGAGCAGTCCTGTTTTTTCCTTTGGTTGGAAAAATTCTTCATCATTTATTATTTTCTACTAGCATATTAAAACAAGGGGAAAAGATTGCTCAGTTATCTATAAACTTAGTACCTAAATATGTCAGAAAACAAAATTAAGTAGAGTGGAGAGGAGACTTATTTCTATTTTCTTATAGCAAAACTTAGCTCAATTCTGTTTCCTTATAGTAAAACTTTCTCCCTCTCATATACATTTAATAATGAGATTTGACTGTTTTGCTGGGCATTCAAGGCCTTGCATGATCTACCCTACCTCTCTATTTAAAATTTATTTTGGCCAAACATAGTGACTCATGCCTGTAATCCCAGCACTTTGAGAGACCCTGCCTCTACAAAATGTAAAATAAATAAATAAATAAATAATTTTAAAACACTCATAAAATTTATTTTGGCACTTTCTTTTTTAAACAAATTTATTTATTATACTTTTTCTGGGGTACATGTGCAAAACATGCAGGTTTGTTACATAGGTATACATGTGCCATGGTGGTTTACTACACCCATCAACCCATCATCTACATTATGTATTTCTCCTAATGCTATTCCTCCCCAATGCCCCCACCCTCTGCTATCCCTCCCCTAGACCCCCACTATCTGACAGGCCCTGGTGTGTGATGTTCTCCTCCCTGTGTCTATGTTTTCTCATTATTCAATACCCACTTATGAGTGAGAACATGTGGTGTTTGGTTTTCTGTTCTTGTGTCAGTTTGCTGAGAACGATAGTTTCCGGTTTCATCCATGTTCCTGCAAAGGACATGAACTCATCCTTTTTTATGGCTGCAAAGTATTCCATGATGTATATGTGCCACATTTTCTTTATTCAGTCTATCATTGATGGGCATTTGGGTTGGTTCCAAGTCTTTGCTATTGTGAACAGTGTATTTTGGCACTTTCTTTTCCACACTCTGTTCCACAGTCACTATTAGTTTAGTGCCTTTGCCCTGGTCCCATAGAAACATGTTCCAGTTCTTAGCATTAGGTACGGTTTCTCAGGTCTAAGCAGACACTCATTACTTTTCAGCAACGTTATATATCCCTTCCCTGCATGAGAAGTAAAAGTTGTTATTTATTGATATGCTTTGGCTATCTCCCCACCCAAATCTCATCTTGAATTGTAGCTCCCGTAATTCCCACATGTCATGGGAGGGACCTAGTGGGAGGTAATTGAATCATGAGGGCAGGCCTTTCCTATGCTGTTCTCTTGATGGTGAATAAGTCTCACAAGATTCAATGGTTTTATAAAAGGGAGTTCCCCTACACAAGCTCTCTCTTGCCTGCTACCATGTAAGACTTGACTTTGCTCCTCATTCACCTTCAGCCATGATTTTGAGGCCTCCTGAGCCATGTGAAATTGTGAATTAATTAAACCTCTTTCCTTTATAAATTACCCAGTCTTGGGTATGTCTTTATTATAAGCGTAAGAACAAACTGATACACTTGTCTTAAATACTAATGTACTCAACAGAATATATCTACATATAACAAATTCACGCAAACTTATTTATACTCCTAGTTGCCATGAGGGGCTCACAGTGAATGTGTCCCCATCCTATGACCTGCCCTGGCCAGCAATCTGATTGCAGAATCTATGGAAATCAGATTGCTGGCCAGGGCAGCTTTCCTGAAGTTGATGCTAGAGCCCAGGTTTTAATGGCAAGGTGAAGCTGTATAAACAAGGTGCAGAAAGCTGTTCTGAGGAATGGATCAGCTGTGGAAGACATGAAGTCCTGTAGCACAATGGTGACCATCAGATTTTATAATCGGCTCAATATTTTGTAAGATTAAAGTACAAAGAGATGAGTAGTGGAAGATTACTCTAGAATGGTAGGTAAGGGCCAGAATAGCGAAGGCCACAGAACTGGTAATAGGGGATGTGAGAGAGGCTAAATAGGCCCCTTCCTCTTATGCCTACAATGCTCACTTCCCCTCGGGTTGATGGGGAATCTGCCAAAAACAGCTTCTATCTAGCCCAGTCCTCTAGCAGAACGTCTTGTAAATCACTTATGATAGCTGGGTGTGGTGGCTCACGCCTGTAATCCCAGGACTTTGGGAGGCCGAGGGGAGCAGATCACAAAGTCAGGAGATTGAGACCATCCTGGCCAACATGGTGAAACCCTGTCTCTACTAAAAATACAAAAATTAGCTGGGTGTTGTGGCACCTGTCTGTAATCCCAGCTACTCAGGAGGCTGAGTCAGAAGAATCATTTGAACCTAGGAGGTAGAGGTTGCAGTGAGCTGAGATCCATGCCACTACACTCAGCCTGGTGACAGAGCAAGACTCTGTCTCAAAAAAAAAAATCACTTAGTGATATAAATACTCTTTAAGATACCATAAGGTCAGTAATTGTGTCATTTCCCATAGAAAGCGACTAAAGATAAGAGGTGGTAGTGACGTGGCCTTTACAAATAACGTTTTAGATATGGACTTTTTTGAAAAGAATTGTTTTCTTAATAGTTAACTCACTGTATCAGAAGGTATATGGCTATATGGCCCAGAGATATGGGAAGTTTATTACTGATGAAATCCTGTTATTAGTCCTTTACTTAAAATAGTTGAATTATGCATCTTTAATTGCACTAAATGTATTAATATGATCTGGAGGTAAATTTACAGTTTTCTTAACAATAAAATGGGGATTCTTAGACTGAAAACTCTATGGGGCTTTTGAATTTATGAAAAAATGATGCATTACACTTGAAAATAGACAAGAATGCCCAACAGAGATAATTAATCAATATTTTAAATTAGATTCTACGTTCATGGAGGGAATATGACCTGGCAGTAATGATTATAAATTATGGGAAAAAAATGTTGGACATCACACCAGAAAGCAAGTCTCTGTTGGATGGTGGTGATGAACAAGAAGAAATGCCAGAGGAGGTAATTGTGTTTGTTTCTCATTTTTAAACCTATGTTTAGTTTGGGTCTTTAGGGGTAATGTATTATGAAACATTAGAAAACTGATAAATTTGACACTTGTATTTACAAATAAGTGAAAAAATCTAGTAAAGAGCTTTTGGGTTTTGTCTTGTTTTTTTGAGTTATAGTGAAGAAAATTAAGAAGGAATCTCTGCTAGTATACTGAATAGTCCCCAGTCACCACTCCCAGCCATCAGTTAGGCAATCATAGAGAGCTTCCTACACCCAGCTGGACATGAGACTTAAAAGCTCTCTAACGTCTCTTCTAGATCTAAGATTTTACTGTTCTGGGTGGGTCATTGAATGCAGCAAATACATGTCAGAGTTTTTTTTAACTTTGTGTTCAAAGTCGATTTCTGAAACTCACTGTGACACCTACATTCTCTTATGAGACGGCTAATTTTTGAGATGAACTTTTAATATCTGCCTTCCCTTATGCTTATTGCCTTTCCTTGAAACTACGTAGTTAACATATTTTTGGAGATCAAGTTTTGAAATGTTACTTAGTTCATTTGGTTTCTTTTTCTTTTTTTCTTTTTGAGACAGAGTCTCACTCTGTTGCCCAGGCCAGAGTGCAGTGGTGTGATCTTGGCTTATCGCAGCCTCTGCCTTCTGTTCAAGTGATTCTTCTACCTCAGCCTCCTAAGTAGCTGGGATTATAGGCATGTGCCACCACACTTGGCTAATTTTTGTATTTTTAGTAGAGATGGGGTTTCACCATGATGGCTAGGCTGATCTTGAACTCCTGACCTTAGGTGATCTTCCTGCCTTGGCCTCCCAAAGTGCTGGGATTACAGACGTGAGCCACTGCCTAGGAATTACTTGAAGTCCCTTTCATGGCTTGGGTGCGGGTAGAGACTCTCATCCCTGACTGTTTGAGTTAGAGTAGCTCCATTTTTATCTCTGTGATATGTTGAATTTCCAAGTAAGCATTTGTTTGCCAAAAAAATCTTTAAAATCACCACTGTTTTACTGGATGACTTTTTAAGCCATAATACCTTTTTTTTTTTTTTTTTTAGTTGGGAGGGTGTTTTGTCTAGGGAGTTTTGATTAAGCTGGAAGCAATTGGAAGGGTTTTTTTTTTTTTTTTGGTTCCATCCAGTGTCTTCTCTCTGAGTCCATCAGCCCCTTTATATCACGCAGGCCTTGACTGAGGGCCTTTCACATCATGGTAGGACAGGCCTCATGCCCCTCTCCTTGAAGCTTATACTTCAGCGGAAGGTTGTGATTCTTCCATCTAAGATTGTAGAGATTGTTAGTTTATAGTAGTCAGAAATTACTAGAGCTACTCAAGGTTCCTTTAAGCCTAAAGGGGCTTGGAAGGTTTTTTGGAGAACAAGAGACATTAACAGGTCAGTTCTCAGGCTCAGACAGAGAAAACATGGTTGTGAGCCTGAGTGCAGATAGGCGGATTCTTAATCCAGTAATTACTGATCCCCTTACTCAATGAAAGGCAAAGTGGCAAAGGCAATTAGCTAAGTTGTAAAGAAGCTCCTTCTGGGAAAAGGAAAGGAAAAAAAGGAATAAAGGGATACATTTCCTCTTTGAATTGTCTTTTCAAGATTTTTAGAGACATAGTCTCAGCTGCTTTGAGAATGCAGGTTTTGGAGGGTGGAAATTATTGGGAGAAAGGGAGAGGGAAACAAAGCAGCATTTTGGTCAATCTCCATGAAATGTGGAATGTGTCTGCATTTAATTAGAACACAATGACTGTGATTATTCATTATTATTAATTAATATTATGTAGATCATAGTTTTTATCTACCAAATATGAAAGTATGAAAACATAATTTAAAGGATGTTGTTTGAAAATGACAGTTGTTGCAACACGTTAAAGTACATTTTGACGTTTACCGATGTTTCTAGGATTCTTCTAAGAAGTCTTTAAAGAGTAAGAAGCCACAGCAGATACTGTTGCCTGAAAAGATAAGTGAACAGCTGGCTTTGTTGGAGACACACCTCCTCAAACTGACAAAGCAATGTAATCATTGTTTTTTTCTGTATACTTCTGTTTAGCATTAAGTTTTTTAAAACAAGAAAATATTTGGTTCAAAGGATTACAATAAGATTAGCATTGTAAACCCTTAGATTGGTAAACTCTTTAAGATTTACACAGTGCTGTTACATTATATCATTAATCCTAACAATACCCTGTTAATGGATTGTTAGCCACTTTTTACAGATGTGGCTCATAGAGATTAAGCGATTTACTTAGGATTACGTAGCTGGCTTGGGCTCGAGCCTGCGTCTTCTGATTCTAAAGCAAGTTTTCTCAACCTCCACACTATTAGCATTTTGGGCCAGGTAGTTCTTTGTTGTGAGGGACTGTGCTTGGCACTGTATGATTTTGAGTAGCATCCCTGGTCTCTACTCACAGAAGTACAGCACACCATCCACCTAGTTGTGACAACAATCTGGGTATCCTTGAAGGGAGAGTGGGAGGGGGTTATGGGAGGTACAGAATTGAGAATCACTGCTTTAAAGGCAAAAATGCAACTGGGAAATAAAGGGATAGTGTGAGGGTTGTTAACGTGTAAACGGTTTGAACCAACATCTTCCAGAGTAGAAAGCAGAGTGAAAGATGAGTTTAATTTTAGGTCGTTGTACTGTAGTAATTTCATAATGAACCAATGTGTTAATGCAATGATTGGTGTTTTGGAATTTGCAGCCTGGAAAGCTACTTGGGAAATTGAGTTAGTTTCTGGTGATGATTAGTATTGTCACATTTTTAAAAAGCAGGTACTTTAAATCTTCTAGAACAAGAGACTACTCAAATTTGAGCCTTAAACCAAGTATGATAGTTGCTGCAACATGTTAAAGTACATTTTGACATTTAACCGATTGATGTTTCCAGGCTTCGTCTAAGAAGTCTTTAAAGACTTTTGCTCCATGGCCTTTGGGAACCTGGCTATGCTTGTAGAATTCCATGTCCCTACTTCACCTTTCTTACTGTGCGCCTCAGTTCTGTCTTGTGGGCTTCACTGACTTGGATCTCTCTCTCTTTTAATATGTTCCATGCCTGTTTCAAGCATGGATTTATGACACTTGAACTAAGTGTTTGATTGTTTCTATAACTAGTTAACCTAGCTTTGGGAAAGCTGTAATCATCTTATTATATATAGAAAGTATAATTCCTTAAAATGTACAGTGTTCTATAAGTATGAATTATTTATTTTCATAATATTGGTAAAAATATTTTACCGAGAAGCACAATGGGCTATAAGTAGCTAAGTGGTAAATTCTTCCTGATGGTCTAATGGTTAGAAAAAGAATAGTAAATTCAAAAACAACAATAATAAATGATAGTTTTGTACATTGTTTTCTGTGTGCCAGTTACTATTTTACAAAATATACTATTTTTATAAAACATAGACATTAAAACTTATGCAACCTGTATGTAAAAACCATATGAGGAAGGTACTATTATTATCTCCATTTTAAAGATGAATAAATTGAGGCACAGAGAAGCTAAATAACTTTCCAAGGTTTCATAACTAAAACATGTCATGATTAGAATTTGAACCCAGCCAGTATGGCTCCAGTGGCTGTGTTATACTTTACTAGCTTTTGAAGATAATTTTACTAAAATGGAGTTAATATAATTGGTAGATTTCTGAGTCTTGGGTTTGCTGATATAGGACAGCTGTTGAATAAGAGAGAATAATGCCTTAGAAACTTTTTACCTATTTGGTGGTGGACCCCTTAGCTTTTAGGGGGAAAAGTGAAGCAAATAATTTGATTTTTTTTATTTCTAAAATGTAATGCTATAATTGACATTTTAAGGCACATAATTTAGAATATTTTAGTATTTTCCTGTTTTTCATCTCTTTTAAATAATTTTTATTTTGAATTACTCAAAAAATTTTTATTTTGGGTTATTAAACAGAACATACAATTTTTGAATTTTTCAACTTTAGATGTTACATCTGAACTCTCAGGAGGAGAAGACCCTATATTTCTTTATCCTGTAGTTTTGAATTGGTCTGTCAAAGGTGCCGTGAAAGAAGGTAGGTGAACTGGCTGTGTATGTGCTGTTCACTCAGTTTATTCCTGAAGATATTAATTCTGTGGATCTTGTTTCTGTTGTCTACTTGAAGATTTCACCTGTTTCAGGCAGAATATTTTGAATTCTTATCCATTCAGAGTAATGTGGAATCCTGATTGCCAAGTAACGAAAGAGACCTAAATAGGTGCCTGATTTAAAGTCTGGAAAGACAGAACCTTGATGGTGGCTCATTACTATAAAGCTTACAAAAACTAGGGCATTGAAAAATGTATTAGTGGCCGGGCACAGTAGCTCACCCCTGTAATCTCAGCACTTTGGGAGGCCGAGATAGGTGGATCACCTGAGGTGAGGAGTTTGAGACCAGCCTGGGCAACATGTGAAACCCCATCTCTAGTAAAAATACAAAAATTAGTTGGGCATGGTGGTGGGCACCCATAATCCCAGCTACTCAGGAGGCTGAGGCAGGAGAATCACTTAAACTTGGGAGGCAGAGGTTGCAGTGAGCTGAGATTGTGCCACTGCGCTCCAGCCTGGGTGACAGAGTGAGACTGTCTCAAAAAAAGAAAAAATGGGCTAGGCACAGTGGCTTACACCTGTAATCCCAGCACTTTGGGAAGCCGAGGTGGGAGGATCACAAGGTCAGGAGATCGAGATCATCCTAGCTAATATGGTGAAACCCCGTCTCTACTAAAAATACAAAAAATTAGCTGGGCATGGTGGTGGGTGCCTACAGTCCCAGCTACTCGGAAGGCTGAGGCAGGAGAATTGCTTGAACCAGGGAAACATAGGTTGCAGTGAGCTGAAAGCACGCAATGGCACTCCAGCTGGGTGACAAAGTGAGACTCCCATCTAAAAAAAATAAATAAGTAAAAAAAAAAAAAAAATATATATATATATATATATATATGTGAATTTCAAGTTTAGCTAATAAGAAATGGCAACATAATTGATTAATTCAAAGTCAAATATAAAACTTAGCGTTACTAGTTATGATAATTATCAACAATTTTTTTCCCTGGTCAGTCATGTGTTAGAAGTGACCTTAATGAAATCTTTCTCAATACTGAGATATTTAGAAAATAAATTTAAGATAATCTGTAAAGAATTCATTGATATTAGAAAAACAATAGTTCACACCACATTTATTCCTATATACTTTTTAAAATGGAGAAATCTAAAAAGCAAATTAATAAACTTGCCTGTTGGAGCAAAATGACTGTTAGCACTGGCCACCCTTCCGTACTAATAATTGAGTATATTGGTAACTATATGTGAACTTCCTTGTTTTTACAGTTATGAAATTTAAGCAAAAACCAAGATTTCTGGAATTCTTTACACAAGTTATGCTAAAATGCATGAATGAGGAAAAATTTCACCTTATGGTAGAGATAACAATTCCTGTCCATGACTTCTTGAAAAGGTACTTGCAATTATCAGTTTTATACATGTTAACAACTTTAAAAAATGAGTAACATTGTCAGTTTTAAGAAATATAAGGTAGATGAAAAAGAGAGTGGAGTACATACAGTTCAAACCACCACCTGAGAGAGAGTGAAAATTCTTATCTGTGTAAATAAATAACTAAAAGTAAAAAACATATATACAATGAACTCACAAATGAGAATAGAGCATGTTCAGATCTCTAGCTGGAGATATATTAAGTCTTTTGCTATTGAGTCAGGATGGATAATAGTATCTCTAGGTCATCAGTTCTTTCTCACAGAGGGTTTTGGGTCCAATTTTGGTCATTTACCGTATTTCTAATTCTTCTGTAGTAACAAATAGAGCCACTTGTTGGGGTTTCCATTTGTATATGTGAAGAGGGAGTTCCTCAAATAAAAGCAGTAAATCTGAAAGCTGTCCCTCCTATTCTCTAAGCCTCAATGATTCTCTTTGCTCCCAGAGAAAATGATAGTGCCTCACATCAATTATGAGAGATGCCAAATGAATCTAGCTTTTCTTCTAGCAACTGAGAGTGGGGTTTTCTTCAGTGGACATCGATCTGTCCATCCCATTTTAATAAAAGTAAACATCAGTGACATGAAACTTATTTTTGAAATGGCGGCAAAAGAGAAACATTCTCTTAAAAACATACAGAAAGATATTCCTAAAATAGGTACTTCATTTATTAGAACAGAAGCTTACAGTATATATGTACTTCATATTTTCAAAAAATAAAAGGAAATTTTTTATATTAAATGAAACAGGCCATGATAACAGAATTAGTCAGAATTAGAGTTTAAAATTTTTCAAAAAGCAGCTAAAATTAGATGTTTAGGAGGGTTAAATAATGTTCTTGATTCCAAAGAAAAACAGAAGATAACTTTGAGTGTGCAGGCAAATTTGGAGGGCTGGCTGTGGAAGTCTAAACTAAGAATAAGAAATATTCTGAAAGAGGAGTATAAGGTTATAATACTGTATTTATACTGTACTTTTCTCAGGTTTGGATATGTTTAGATATATAAATACTGACCATTGTGTTACAGCATCGTCTACAGCATTCAGTATAGTAACACACTACACAGGTTTATAGTCTAGGAGCAATAGGCTGTACTATATGGCCTAGATGTGTAGCAGGCGATACTGTCTAGGTTTGCATAAGTACACTCTGTGATGCTCACACAATGACAATTGCCTAAGAAAGTATTTCTTAGAACATATCCCTGCCGTTAAGTGACACACGACTGTATAAATAGTTAAAACAATGAAGAAGTCACCAGTAATATTGCTTTGCATAAAAATTTAAAAATACTGTTTATCAAAATGGAAAGCAGTCAGTCAGAGCTCCACAGAGCAGTGAACAGATCAAGGAGTAGAGGAATTTAATTTATTCAGTGGATGAAGGTTCTGCTGCACATGAAGGAGAATGCTGAGATGGTGGCAAAGACTGTAGTCTAAATGTGACCTCTTCTCCTTCCCGTCTGTTTCTGGAAGAACGTAGCAACGACATCAAGGACGCTGGTAGTGAGGGAGAGAGAGAGGAGAGGCTGTAGAGAAGAGACTTAGCTGGCTGGAAATGAAAGGCCGGCCCAGGCTGGAAGTTATGAAGGATGGATCCCCAAGTCTCTTATGGTCATTGATCAAAGGCTTCTAATTTAGGCAGCAAAACATTTGCCCAAACTAATGTCAACTAACTGGGAGATTCTTAGGATTGCCACAGCTGAGTTGGGGTTCTAGGCAACCATGGGATTCGGATCATTTTCATCAAAACTGAAGCAAAGGAACCAAGATGGATTTAGGTCAAGTTCCAACCCCTGGAACTAGCTATCCAGACTCACCCCATCATTTCATTAACCTTGCATTAATGAGACCCTACATTTTATTCAAGTTTAGGGATCCCATTTATCATGTTAAGCAGTTTTGCTGTACCTGGCTAGTACTTACTGAAGAAATATAAATTCCAAAAAATACAGAAATTTCAGGAAAAATAGGCAAGTATCAATAAAGGGACAGTGTGAGGCTATCCTACTGGGAAAAGGTGAGCTCAGCTCCTGTTGGTATTCAGAGGGCAGCAGCGGCTGGGAGCTTGCAAAGCATGGAACCAAAGAATGGAAATCTGTTGGAAGCAAGGAAGCTTGTCTAGGGTTACTTTTACAGTATTCTCTGAGTTGTAAGAGAAGTGTCCATGTTACTTTATTTTCAGTCTAGTTCTGTTCCATCTACATCATGCCTTCAACTCCTCTTTTTTCCCATATTAGAAAACCCTGTAGAAGCTTTTATTATATGATTATAATATATAATGTATTCTCTCATATATTGTGAAATACATTTTAAAATTTATTCAGTCTCCTGTAAATAGACATTTAAATTATTTCTAATTTTTTATGATTATAAACAGTGCCGCAAAGGACATTCTTATACATCTGTCCTTATGCATTTGTGAGAGTTTCTGTAAATATACAGGGCTGTAGTTTCCAAGACATGAGCATTTTAACATTATTAGATATTGATAAGTTGCTCTTAAACTTTCATCAATGCTGTGAAAAGTTTCTATTATTCAATATCTTCACTGACACTCACATTTTATAATATGATTTACATTCTGCTCTTTTGAGAGACCAGCTATTTCTTGATGAACAGAGATATCACAGTCTAATTTATACATAGGACACAAGCAGTTTTGATATTCTTGCATAATTTCAATGACAACCTTAAAGACATATTACTTTGGGGAAGTTCTGTAAATTTTTGCAGGTCTTTTTGACTGACTTTATCTTTTTTGTTAGGAGAAATGAGTCTCTACTTGAAATTAAAAAAGTGAAATATAAGGACAGTACTTCAAATAAAAAAGCAAACAAATCTTTAAAGTTCAAAGCTGCCGTAATGGAAATTGGAAGAGTAAGTTATTTATGAATTTTGAATATTAGGTAATGAAATTAAGAGATTTATTTATCTAGAGATGATTGGCAACATTTAAAACGCATTATACTATGAAGCAGAAGGATATACCAACAACCATATTTCACAATTACATAATACTACATAATTTTTAGATTAACATAGATATTGTTATAATCAGATTTTTTTTTTTGTCTACAAGGGTACTTCTGTTACCTTTGATAGTAATTTTAATGAGGGTATAAAGAAACTACTTTATTTCAATGTCAAGAGATAAGCATTAGAGTATGAATAAATTATACTACTGTGTTCAAAATTTAAATTTAATGTGTAACATTTTATCTCCTCTATTAAGAGTGCAGAAATGCAACAAAGAATGAGAAGTAAAAAAAAGGAAACTCTAAGAGATCTCATTTTAAAAAATCCAGCTATTTCTGAAATGATGGCACATGAAAGGTATTAACTAATTAATTCAATAAAAGTTTACTTGAGCATAACTATGTTTTGGGCATTATTTTGGGTACTATGGATACACTGGTGAACCAGATACGTGAAATCACTGCCTTTAAGGAACTTAAATACTAATGAAAGGAGCATAGTAAACACATAAATAAAGAAGACAGTTAAGAATGTTGATAAATGTTATGAAGTAAATGAAATAATATAGAGCATTTGGCTTGGCATGAAGGTGGTGGTGGCAATAGTTTAGGTAGGGTGGTTAGAAGAACAAATTGATAAATTAATTATCAGTGAACTTAAAGTTCTTGATTATAAAATGTGTTATGGCAAAATGTTTAGTTTCTATTTTTATAAGTACACATATGTATACATGTATAAGATTTTTTGGTCTTATACATTCTTTATATAGCTTTCCTTCACTATATGTTTTTCTATACCTGTTTAGTGATTTTGATTTTAATTTGCACCACATAGATATTAATAGAACCAATTCTGCTTTGTTTTTTTTGCATTTGCCTACTCTCTTTTTGATTATTCCTTCATTTTCTTTATTTAAATTGTGACATATTTTAGATGGGTATAAAAATAATATAACAACTATGTAACTTAACATGTAAAACCTTACAAACACAATTGAAATCCCTGTGTACCCTTCCTGGTATGCATTTTTGTTTTCATCTATCCTGGAGATAGTACTATCTCCAAATTTGGCATTTATCATACTGATGAGTGACTTTGTATGTCAACCTCATATGTATATAGCCTCAAATAATGCATGGTATAATTTTTTTCAATTTGCTTTGGAAATTTGCTTTTTTCCTCTCAGTATTATATTTGTGATTTTTTTGAATGTCAGTTATACATAAATCTAGTTTATTAATTTTACTGCTAAATCGTATTTCATTATATACCAAATATCATATATAAACAAATTGTATAACGTAATGCATTGTATTTATTGTATACATATTTATATATGCATAATACATATACATAAATATAATTATAAATAACACACATAATTTAGCATATATATAACATAATATAAATAATATATAAATTTATATTTATTACACATATATTATATATTACACATTTTAATAAAAAATTTTAAGTGATTTATTCAGTCTCCCATAAATAAACATTTAAATTCTTTCTAACTTTTCACTGTTATAAACAATATTACAAAGGACATTCTTGTATATATCTCCTCATGCATGTGTGAGTTTCTGTAGGGTTAATACACAGGGTTGTGGTTTTCAAGACAGGAACATTTTAACATTACTAACTAGATATTGCTAAGTTACTCTTACATTTTTATCAATGTTGTGAAAACTTTCCATTATTCAATGTCCTCACCAACACTTGATATTATTATCACATTTTTGTGGAACTGTGTGGTGTAAAGTTTTTTCTCGTTGTTTCAGTTTTCATCTCCTTGATTCCTAAGGTTACACATCTTTTCATATTTTATTAGGGCCAAGAGTTTTTCTAAAAATTGTTTTAGCTACTCTAGGATCTGTACCATTTCATATACATTTTAGAATAAATTTGTCTGTAATATGAATTTTAAAGATCTATTTCTTGTACCATTTCATACACATTTTAGAATAAACTTATCTGTAATATGAATTTTAAAAATATATTTATTACCTCCCTCCTAAGTACCATATTTGCTTTGGGATTCAGGATGAAGCCCTTTATCACATTTAGAAAATTGTCTTTCATTTTTTATTTTCTAAGAGTTTTGTTATAAATTATGTTTAATTTTATTGAATATTTCTTTTTCATTTTTTTCTTCTTTAATATGATTGTGTGATAAAGTACATTATTGCATAAATGTTAACCCATGTGTTTTTTGCTGATACCACTTCTGACACAAACCCTGTGCTGTTTTCAGCACCAACCAATCTTCAGCACCAACTGAGCATCCCCATATGCACTTCATCGAATTTCTCCTTAGGATAACATCTTGTATAACCATAGCACAAAAAGGCAATTAGATGCTGATGCTGTCTACCTAGAGTTAGCAGCAGATCCCACAAGTTAAAGGGCTCAGTCCCAAAACACTGCCACCACTTCAGAGGCCAGTCACAAATGTGATACCTGGGATACCCACACTTCTTTCTGACTATAAATTCAGAGATTCCCTCCTCAGGTTTGAAAATTTGTTAGAATAGTTCACAGAACTCAGGAAAATACCTTACATGTTTACTAGCTTAATATAAAAGATGCAAATGAATAGCCAGATCGAGACGTATGTACCAAGGGCAAAGTCCAGACGGGTTCTGAGCACAGGAGCTTCTGTCCCTGTGGAGTTGGGGGCACCAGCCTTCTGGCTTATGGTTGTGCACACTGAACCTCTTTGTTCAAGAATTTTTATAACCTGGCTTACAGCCACCCTCCCCTCTAGGAGGTGGAGGGGTGGGGCTGAAAGTCTCACCCTCTAATCATGTGTAAGATAACCCCTATCCTGAGGCTATCTGGAAGCTCCACCCTGAGTCACCTCCTTAGCATAAACATATATGTTCCACAGGGACTTTGTGTGAGTAACAAATTTCTTTCACTCCGGAAATTCCAAGGGTTTTAAGACCTCTGTGCCAGAAATCAGGGGACAGGTACCAAATACATATTTTTATTATCCACACCATACTTGCACATTTTTACCAACAGATTCAATTTCTTTGAGATTAATACATCTCTTTGAGTCTGTAATCTTTTTTGAGTTCCTTTTGATGAATATTTTTCTAAAAAATTTTCCATTTTATGAGTTTTCATATTTATTCATAAAAAGTTATACTCTCTTATTACCTTTTGACTTTGTGCTTTACCTATAGTTACATCCTGTGTTTCATTCCTAAGTTCATTTATCTTTGTCTTCTCTCGTATTTTTATCATTTGTTTTGCCAGAGAGTTGTTGTAGAAAGTAAAAAGTTCCTCTTCAAAGTTTCCCTTGTTGTTAAAGAATAATAATAGTAAATGTTTGGAAATAATAGTCTCTTTTAAAGACTAACTTTCTTCAAATCCTTCTTGCTTTTTGCTAGTAACTCTTTGTTAAGCCCTATCCTATTTGGCTGTTAGATATAGAGGAATTAAGTACATTCCATGTCCTTGCACTTTAACCAAGATATTTATGTGTTGGACATGCTCACAGGCATGTAGTACGTTCTGTGTCCTTGTGTTTTCATCAAGATATTTATGTTATTTTCTAGGTCCTTTCACAAGCAACTTCTTCTCCCTTCCTTATTTGGACTTCCTCTTTTCCTTTGTTCTCTGTTGTCTTTCCCTATTTAGAAAAGTTTTAAGTTGTTAGCCAATTGGGTTTAGTTTAGATTGTGAGGTCTGGCTCCAACCAATGGAGATTGGACACAGCAATAAGGACCCAGTGAATAACGAATAAATATGCCTGCCTTTCCTTTGTTCATTGCACTCTCATGGCAAGACTGCTGATGAGTAGTGCCCTTTCTGCAGAAAGTGCAATTACCTTGCTGAGAGATCCTTTATCTCAGTGCTGAATTTTCTTTGTGGCACCTAGTACTTGTTTCCAACATTAGTCTATTTTTTAGTCTTTGTAAAGAACCAAATTTTGTCTTTGTTGATCTTTTCTATTGTCTTAATTTTCTTTTTCATTATCTTTTGCTTTTATATTTATTACTTTCTACCTTCCTTTTCAACAACAGCTTTATTGAGATCATAAATCACAAAACCATACAATTCACCCATCTGAGTGACACACTTCAATAGTTTTTGTTACCTTCACAGAGTTCAATCATCAACACAATCAGTTTTAGTACATTTTCATTAACCTAGAAAGAAACCCCGCACTCCTTAACTATCACTCCCCTACATCCAACTCCTTTCCCTCAGCTTGAAGCAACCATGAATCCACTTTCTGTTTCTATAGATTTGCCTATTCTGGCTATTTCATGTAGGTGTAATCATATAATATGTGGTCCTTTGTCACTGGCTTTTTCATTTAGCATCATGTTTTCCAGGATCATCCATGTAGCATGTCTCAGTATTATGTTTCTTTATTGCTGCATAATATTTCATGGTTTGGATATATGACATTTTGTCTATCCATTCATCAGTTGATAGACTTTTGGATCAGTTGATAGACTTTTGGATCAAAACTTTTGATCCACTTTTTGGCTATTATAAATAATACTGCTGTGAAAACTCATGTAAAGTTTTGGTTTAGATATTTTCATTTCTCTTGGGTACCTACCTTCTTTCTTTTGGCAAATTCAGTTGTCCCTTTTCTAACTTTTTAGGATGCTTACCTCATATAATTTTGGTATTTTCTTTTGGTGGAAATTGACAAATTTATATTTGATTATAAATTTATGAGAAAAAAGTGCTACAATTAACTTACAACTGGAGAATGCCTATTGTTTTAAATCATGCATGGAGTATTTATACTATTGGCTCTAAAGCAGGTCTCAAGAAATTTCAAGGAATTGGAATCATATGAACCATATTTTATTACAATGCAATTAAGGTAGAAACCAAATTTTGAAAAGTTAACCAAAAAGATCCTTTACATTTGAAAATCTGAAGGAGACACTTAGACATAATGAGGAAAGATTGAAATTACATTCACATGTTGCATAACATTTTGATCAATGGTGGACTGCATGTACAGTGGTGGTCCTAGGCAATTATAAAATCCTATTTTCACTGTACCTTTTCTATGTTTAGGTACAAATACCATCACGTCATAATTGCCCACAGTATTTATTACCTTAATCTGCTGTAGAGGTTTTTAGCCTGGGTGTGTGGTAGGCTATGCCATTTAGGTTTGTGTAAGAACATCCTATGATGTTCAGACAACAATAAAATCGGCTAACACCGCATTTCCCAGAATGTTTTTGTGTCAAGAAGTGGCACACAACTGTACAATTATAATTTAAAAACAAAGAACTTGCTGGAAATATGGTTGGGATTGCTTTGAATCCAGAAAACATGAACATTTAAGTTTTCTAACCATATTTTAGCTGCATCATATATATGTATATGTTATATACATACAATATATAATATATAAAAATATATTTATATATGTATATTTATATATAGATATACATAAAACATATATTTATATATACATATACATAAAAATATATACCATATGTGTGTGTGTGTGTGTGTGTATATATATATATATTTTTTTTTTTTTTTTGAACACCCAGGTTGGAGTGCAGTGGCACTATCATAGCTCACTACAGTCTCCTACTTCAGTCTCCTGAGTTGCTAAGACTACAGGCATGTGCCACCATACCTGGCTAATTCTTTTTCTTTTCTTAATTGTGGAGACAGGGTCTTGCTATGTTGCCCAGGCTGGTCTTGAACTCCTCAGCCCAAGTGATCCTCCTGCGTCAGCCTTTCAAAGTGCTGGGATTACAGGCATGAGCCACTGCACCTGGCCAGCAGCCTACAATTTTTACTAAAAGTGTTTTCATTCATATTTAGTTCTAAATGTTTTAAAATTGTATTTATAATTTCTGCTTCCTGTGAATAGATCTGACATGTCTTTGCTTTGATTAATTCCTAGGTATGTTTTTGAAGCTACTGGAAATAGCTTCAAACTTTTAGAACTCTTTGTTTATTGATGGTATGTAGAAATAGAGTTATTTTTATATATTGACTCTCTAATCCTTTTCCCCTTTTCCTTTGTCTTCCTTATTGTTCTGGCTAAGGCCATCAGTCTAATGCTAAAACAAAAATCATGTTAGTGGGCATATTTGTCTGATTCCTGTTTCATAGGGAATGTGTTCACATTTTCAACATTTTGTTATTAAGAGTGGTGTTTGTGGTAGGTTTCGTTCTGTGGATATTCTTTGCCAAATTAACATTATTGTTTATTTTGATTCTCAAATTGTTCTAGATTTGGCTAGCAGGAGCTTTTCCAGACTAGCTCTTCAGTTTTTGACATGTTTCCATCTGTTTTTTTTGAGCTATTTTTCACTTACCACAAGATGTTAATCTTGTACACACACTGTACAGCCCTGGAATTAATTTATTCCTCTTAGTGAGAAGTGGTATTTAGAATCTTAAGTTGCGAGGGCTATGGATATGGCTTTGCTTCCAGGTCCTCTCAATAGGCTGAGCTAGGAAATATATTTGTTCAGATAAATTTATTTATTTATCTAAATGTATCATCTATCTAAATATATCTATGTAAAAATAGCTATATAAATATCTCTCTAGCTCTCTATCTATATATCTAAAACCATGTATTCTAATACCTGCAATTCCAGTTCACAACCAGAGGATACTTTCCAGAGTTTTCTCTTTTTCTAATTATAACTCTTTTCCCTAATGGTGAGAATCCTGGTTCCATTAATGTCAAGAAGCTAGCTCATTTACTTAGGCTAGAATGCATAGAAGGTAGTTTCAGGGTTCCTAAATATTTTTTAATTCAGGTGTTTATTTGCTTCCTCTTATGGCTTCACATTACTGAGCATTTGTGCTGATCATCCTTGTGGAGCTTCCTCTCTTTTAGGTGTCCTCAGACTTGTTGCTCATGGAGACACAATTCAGGTTATTAGAGCACCCTGAATGTTAAGAACTGTTCAGATGATAGGAGGAAAAGCATCTAAAGTCTGTGGGCTGGCTGTGAATTCCCTTCCAAGCTACGTGGAGTCTGTCATTACCTTGTCAAGATACCTGGAGAAAGCCTGTCCTGTCGCTGATCTCCCTGAACTATCACAGTCTCCATGGCAAGGAAGATTGTTAACTCATCTTGGTCTTTTGAGGAAAATTGATGTATTCACATGAAAATAAGATTGATTTTCATTTTGGAAATTGTATTTTTGACTTTCAGGACATAGCTATTAGGAAGATTCACATTTATTAAGAAACCAAATAACATATCACTAAAACCAACTAAATAATGATAAAAGCCCTAAAACTCTTGGATTAAAAGCACATCATCAGTAAGCTAAAAACATATTTTGAACTGAGTCATCAAGTAAACAGTCCTTTTCTTGAATATCAAAAGGAAGTTGCCCTCCTTCCTTTCTCCCTCAAATGTTTCCTCCTCTGTTGTAGCAACATCTGCCTGCCTTCTTCCTATCCATCTTTCTTTTTTTCTTGTAAGTGTGTATTTCTGTTGATTCAGATTCCAAACAATATTTGTATAAATGAACAACATCAGGTAGGATGGTGCTACCAATGGGGTAGCAACATCATTAACAGAACAAAAACATTGAAAATATGTTTGGAACAATATGCTCTATAAATAACTATGTAACTACAAAAATAGTTGGTCTATGAGTTTTGATAGGGGTCGTTTTTAAAAATGGAATATACATTATACTTGAAATCTAAACTATTAGCTAAAATTTCAATACTTATTTCTGGAACATATTGAATATGCAGTTATGAAGTCATCTCATCTGTATTCAACCGATGTTTTGTTTCCTCTAGAGTCTAACTAATGTTAGACAAAATTTTGCTGCATTGTTTTTTTCCTCAAGGACCGATACAGAGAAATGATTTTCTTGTTTAATATTGAATTTAGTTGATGAATGTGAACATCATATCATAATTTTGTTGTCTAATCTCAGTGGCCTTTTGGTTATGAAAAAGAAAAGCTCTGTTTGGTTTGAGCTGAGAACACAGACTTCAGAGAGGGTTGAAGACAATATATGGTGTCTCTGTCCCTGGTGCTTATCCCTGTGCCTTTTTTACCACCCTGGTTCATATTTTCAGCACTGTGGAAATGATAAATAAGCCAGAAACATTTGCATAAGGGCAGTCAAGTGACTTCTTGATGTATTTTTTTAACAAATTAGAATGATTTTTTAAATTAAATATCTGAATGTTTTTGTGTAATTTCCAAACTTTTTCTCCCTTGGCAGAAATAAGGGAGCCAGTGTTAGAAAAGCAGCACAGCGATACCTGATGGATTACTTGAATCCTCTAATATCAAGTTATATTAAAAGAAAGAGGTTCCATCGTTTTTCTCTTGAAGAGATGCCCTGGAGAGCTCAGATGAACCTGTATCTAGCAGGCGCACACTTCAACCTGGTTTTACAAAAGCTGGGGGAGCATGCAAAGATGAAATCTGGCACTTCACATATGATGGTCAGGTATAGTGTATTACTGACAAATAGTACTTTTTTAGTTTCATGAGCATGGACTGTATTCGTATGTTCAGAGCTCCAGTGGTGCTAACAACGTAAGGAGGTTTACAGTATGCTTCTCTCTTTATACTGGCTGCATTAGTCTGTTCTCATGCTGCTATAAAGAACTTCCTGAGACTGGTAATTTATAAAGGAAGGAGGTTTAATTTAACTCACAGTTCCACTAGGGAGGCCTCAGGAAACTTGTAATCATGGTGGAAGGTGAAACAAACATGTCTTTCTTCACATGGTGGCAGGAGAGAGAAGGGCAAGCAGGGAAGATGCCAGATGCTTATAAAACCATCAGATCTTGCAAGAGTCACTCATTAGCATGAAAACAGCATGGGGGAAACTGCCCCCATGATTCAGTTACCTCCACCTGGTCCTGCCCTTGACATGTGGGGATTATTACAATTCAAGATGAGCTTTGAGTGGTGACAGAGAGCCGAACCATGTCACTGGCCATTGGTTTATTTCGTAATTTTTAATGTCAGAATCTTTCCCAATTACATGCTTGGATATAAGTGATAATTTGATCATAGCTTTTTTTTTTTTGAGACGGCATTTTGCTCTTGTTACCCAGGCTGGAGTGCAATGGCGTGATCTCGGCTCACTGCAACCTCCGCCTCCTGGGTTCAGGCAATTCTCCTGCCTCAGCCTCCTGAGTAGCTGGGATTACAGGCACGCACCACCATGCCCCGCTAATTTTTTGTATTTTTAGTAGAGACGGGGTTTCACCTTGTTGACCAGGATGGTCTCGATCTCTTGACCTCATGATCCACCTGCCTCGGCCTCCCAAAGTGCTGGGATTGCAGGGGTGAGCCACCGCACCCGGCCTGATCATAGCTTGAATATGTTTGTTGATCTAGCTTTCACTGCAAGGGTAAAATTTAATATGAATTATAGAATATATTAGTAGGCATTAGGCAAATGTCTGTTTCATAGAGGCATTGTTGAAGCCTCTATAAACAGAGATCATATTTACTCATCCAATGTCAACTTTCTCTCATTAACTCAACAGACATTTTTAAGCTCGTACTGTCTTTGACTAAGTGCAGTGGGAGATAAAAATAGAAGATACATATATAATATGAATGCTGTGTAGCCATTAAAAAGATGATGTAAAGTCATGCATTAAAAAACAATACTTGTCAAGTACCTATTAGATATAAGGCACTGAGCTAGGTGAAATGGGCATACAAAGATGAACCAGATACACAAGTTAGGGTCTGGCAGGGTATGTCACAAAAATGCTCATGAATAGCTTGTAATAAATGGTAAAAGGGAATTACAAATAAAATCTTCTTTGTTATTGGAAGAAGGCTTTCCATTGGTTGGAACTAGCAATACACGTTTCATGGGGAGGAGCCACTGGGCCTGAGTCTTGATGGATAGGCAAGGTTTAAAAATGTGCAGAGGGGGAAATAGGCATTCTCGATAGTTGGAAGAACATGAATCAGAGCCCAGGTAGAAAACACAGGATGCGAACCCCAAATAGTCTGACCACAATCCAAGGTGTATGAAAGAGAACGGTGTGTGCATATTCTCATTCATAAGCGGGTATTGAACAATGAGAACATGTGGACACAGGGAGGGGAGCATCACACACTGGGGTCTGTTGAGGGGGACCAGAGGAGGGACAGTAGGGGAGGTGGGGAGGTTGAGGAGGGATAACATGGGGAGAAATGCCAGATATAGGTGATGGGGGGATGAAGGCAGCAAATCACATTGCCATGTATGTACCTATGCAACAATCCTGCATGATCTGCACATGTACCCCAGAACCTAAAGTATGATGAAAAAAAAAAGATAATAATTGGACAAAAAAAAGAGAGCGGTGTAAAATAATTAGAAAAGTAGATTGGTAACAGATCATGGTGGGTCTTAAAGGTCTATTACATTTGAGCTTTATTTTACATACTGTAGAAGATTATTGAGGGTTTTCAAGCAGGGCCATGATAAAAATGTCTCTGGCAGCAACTTATCAAATAGATTGGAGGGAGGAAAGACTGGAGACAAGGGCATGAATTAGAGGGCATTTATTTCAGTAATCCAGTGAGGAAGACATGCGGGTTGAAACTCACAATTTCTATTTCTCCAGAATTCTGGTTAAGCTCACTACCAAACTGAACCTTTGCAAAAACATCTCCAGATAGATCCCTTTCCTATGTGGGCTGGACCAGACTGGCATTCAAGAAGCAGTTAGTTTGCCTGACTGACCTGGAAGGCTTTTGGCAAAGGAAGCCATTCAAGGGACCATGACAGGGGAAATGGTTCAGAACAGATGGGCTTCCTTACCCTTCTCTGAACATTGGGAAGTTTCTGGGCTTCCAGTTGTACAGGACCCTTCATGCATGATCACTTGGGAACACCAAAACAATGATCAAAGCTGTGTCAGGATAACTTGGTGCTAACTTCAGTTTTATTAAATCTATTAATCTCAGTATTATTATTATTTTACTTTCCATAAGTTATTAAGGTACAGGTAGTATTTAGTTACATGAGTGATTTCTTTAGTGATTATTTGTGAGATCCTGGTGTTCCCATCACCTGAGCAGTATACACTGTACCATATATGTTGTTTTTTGTGTCTCATCCCCCTCTCATTCTTCCCCCCAAGTCCCCAAAGTCCATTGTATCATTCTTACACCTTTGCATCCTCATAGCTTAGCTCCCACATATCAGTGAGTACATATGATGTTTGGTTTTCCATTCCTGAGTTACTTCACTTAGAATAATAGTCTCCAGTCTCATGAAGGTCAACTGCAAATGCTGTTAATTCATTCCTTTTTGTGGCTGAGTAGCCTTCCATCATATAAATATACCACAGTTTCTTTATCTACTCAATTGAGCATTTGGGTTGGTTCCATGATTTTGCAATTGTGAATTGTGCTGCTATGAACATGCACGTGCAAGTGTCTTTTTTGGGTAATTCTTTTCCTCTGGGTAGATACCCATTAGTGGGATTGCTGGATCAAATGGTAGTTCTACTTTAATCAATGTTATTTCTTTTGAAAAATAAGGTCTAGGCATTAAACAATCTTGCATCAAAATATTTTTCAAAAGAAATAACGGATTGATTCTCATGCCTGTAATCCCAGCACCTTGGGAGGCCGAGGTGGGTGGATCACGAGGTCAAGACATCGAGACTATCCTGGCCAACATGGTGAAACCCTGTCTCTACTAAAAATACAAAAATTAGCTGGGTGTGGTGGTGTGCGCCTGTAGTCCCAGCTACTTGGGAGGCTGAGGCAGGAGAATTGCTTGAACCTGGGAGACAGAGGTTGCAGTGAGCCGAGATTGCGCCACTGCACTCCAGCCTGGCACTTGGTGACAGAGCAAGACTCTGCCTGAAAAAAGAAAAAAAAGAAAAGAAATAACATTGATTAAAGACACATTGCTCTATATAGTAAGCATCATCATTGAGTTCTGTTATAATCAGGTGGTTTTAAGTTGAAATAAATTGTTGTTTCAGAGCTCACAGAGTGGACACAGATTTTTTTATTCCCATTTTCAAGGGCCCTTTCAGAGAAATATATATCTATGTCAAAATTCCTAAGAGCAAAATTACATTGTATAATTTTAAAAGTTAATTAAAAAAATGTTGGGCTTTGATTAAGTGCCAAAATCCTTCATACTTTAAAATTTGAGAGTACTCACAAATGTTTTAAAAATAAAAATAGATTATATTTGAAAGTTTTAATTCAATTTTGCTTATTTTGTTTTTAATGTGATTTTTTTCTTCCCTTGCAGTTTCAGATCATGTGATCCTAACATATTCTCACTCTATAATTCAGGAACAGTATTACCAACAAGAAAATTGACTGTAGAAAATTATAAAGCAATGCTTGATTTCCTTCTTACAGCCAAAAAAAGAAAGGCCAATTTACCATCAGGTAAAATAAACACATTAGTTTACTATCAAATTGCCTCTAGATTTTTATTCACTGAACAATGTAACACACATGCACATCACATACATACAACGGTATATACACACAGTTTTCCAAAGGACTAGCAATTTAGTTGAGTTTTGATATTTTGTGGGAAATTCTTATCTGCTCTATTAAAAAATTTATATATATAAAAAATATATAGGCCGGGCGCGGTGGCTCAAGCCTGTAATCCCAGCACTTTGGGAGGCCGAGGCGGGTGGATCACGAGGTCAAGAGATCGAGACCATCCTGGTCAACATGGTGAAACCCCGTCTCTACTAAATATACAAAAAATTAGCTGGGCGTTGTGGCGCGCGCCTGTAATCCCAGCTACTCGGGAGGCTGAGGCAGGAGAATTGCCTGACCCCAGGAGGCGGAGGTAGCGGTGAGCCGAGATCGCGCCATTGCACTCCAGCCTGGGTAACTAGAGCGAAACTCCGTCTCAAAAAAAAAAAAAAAAAAAAAAAAAAAAAAAAAATATATATATATATATATATATATAATATATATAAATATATATATAAATTTTTTTTTTTAAAATGGAGTCTCATTCTGTAGCCCAGGCTGGAGTGCAGTGGTGTGATCTTGGCTCACTGCAACCTCATCCTCCCAGGTCCTGGTTCAAGCAGTTCTCCTGCCTCAGCCTTCCAAGTAGCTGGGATTACAGGCACGTGCCACTACGCCTGTAGCTAATTTTTAAGTAGAGACGGGGTTTCACTATGTTGGCCAGGTTGGTCTCAAACTCCTGACTTTGTGATCCACCCGCCTAGACCTCCCAAAGTGCTGGGATTACAGGCATTAGCCACTGCGCCTGGCAGTAAATAGGGTTCTTGATCAGGGTATGCTCTGGTACCTGTAGATGAACAAATCTGACTAATTTCCATACCTCTTCCCTACAAAGATGATGGAACATAGACACCTTCTACTCAATGATATGGTTCATTTCACAAATAAAAATTTATTTCTAATACCTTTAGGTGTGTACATACCCATTTTTATATAGACTTTTAATAATGACATTTTAAGTGCTATGGGATTTATTGACAACCAGAGTTCTTGGTATGCCAGTTAACTGCCTCAGGAGTGTCAATTTATGTTTGAGGTACTTGGCATGCTTTCTGATTTCTTCTAGAATATAGATAGGCTTCACACGTACCTGCATATCTTACTATGTTTAGTAAAGTATTTGAAAGTAAATTCCATAGCCTTGAAGTCTGATTTTTGTATGTAGATTGTAGTATATAGCTTCCCGAGTTTTTTTTTTTTTTTAAACTGGCTGTCTACCTAAGACCTACCATGAAATTGGCAATAGAATATATTTTGCTACAGAGACTTACTATCTAATGCAGGATTCTAAGAGAAAGTTGGTGGCAGGAGAAAGCCTTCTTTTTTTTTTGAGACAGAGTTTGGCTCTTGTTACCCAGGCTAGAGTGCAATGGCGCGATCTTGGCTCACCGCAACCTCCGCCTCCTGGGTTCAGGCAATTCTCCTGCCTCAGCCTCCTGAGTAGCTGGGATTACAGGCACGCGCCACCATGCCCAGCTAATTTTTTGTATTTTTAGTAGAGACGGGGTTTTGCCATGTTGACCAGGATGGTCTCGATCTGTTGACCTCGTGATCCATCCGCTTCGGCCTCCCAAAGTGCTGGGATTACAGGTTTGAGCCACCACGCCCGGCCTGAAAGCCTTCTTTTTTATGCCACACCAGCAGGGGCTTGCGTGGCCGAGGTTGCTGCACTGCCTAACTGCAGAGGGTGCAGCTCACTTTCTGATATATTGTCTTAGGAATGGCCTGTTTGGGAGGAAATGAAAGGACAGCGGTATTTTCTATTGTTGCCCTAAAAAACTGTACCTTCTTACTTCTGCATTGTTCCTTTTGCCATCGACTTTGTCTGAAATGATATTCTCTGTATCTCTGCATATAACTAAATCATGCCCATTCTTTAAGACCCAAGCGCCTCCTTTCTCTAGGAACTTTCCCTGCTTTGTTGTGTCTGTCATAATCTTGTCTCTTCTCCAAATTTATGTAACATTTGTTATCTGAATTACTCATTTGATCCTTATCACCTCCTATGTTTTCTGGAACTTAATTCTATGTTTTTAATCATGTCATACCTAATTTTTGTACTGTAGATGCTGAAGAATTTTCTACATTTATTAATTCCAAAATGAGTGATGAAAATATGTCCAAGATACAAACGGTTTACGACTCAGACTCTCAATCAGGTTCTAGTGCTAAAGAAAAGGATCGAGGAGCAAATTTGTGTGTAATGGATCATTTTATGAAAATCTTTTTATACTGCAGGAGAGCAATGGTAATGCAATCTTTCTTGTTTGCTAGTGTAGTAGACATAAATCTCAGCCCAACAACTCAAGCGTGTAAGATATATTGTATTTATTATCTTACTATATATAATTTTAGTTGTGACTTTGAGACCTCATCTTGCTGAGTATAGCGTAAGTCACTTTTGAGGTGTACCTGCAATGATACTGAGGGCATGCATTGTCCAGTTGTCAGGCAGAGTGGGGAAGCTGCTTCTTTAGTCACCTGTCATCCATCCACCCAGAGCCCAGGTGATCTTTGTCCCAGTTCATGCAGTTCCTATGAATATGCATGCACCTCTCTAGTGAGTCATGGGGTTCTTTCATAATGCAAGGGGTTCCTCTATGGGGCTTGATCTCTCTTGGAGGTATCATAGATTGATCTCTTTCTAGCACAGTGAAAGAGCTTTCTAGGCTATAGGAAAACCCTGCCTCTGTTGGCGGTCTCCTTCTTCCAGTCACTTGTATGTTCTCTCAAATGCTTTTCTTTCTTTTTCTTTTAAAAATATTATATGAGACACAATTAAACCCAGAATGGGAATTGTTAGCTACAAAGAAATCAGTTTCTCTTTTTCATAGCAGGAAGGGCATATACTTTAAGCCTCTCAAGCAATAAGGAAAAATCTATCCTTTCTAGATAAGAAAGGAAGACAGGTTCATATATGCTCCATGGAGTGGACAGAGTCATTTTACATAATGTAATGTAAACCTGGATCCCCTGCTTTGACCATGAGCATCAAATCCTAGCCTCCTGGCCTCCAGCATCAGGGCCCTGGAAGAGCTGGTCCTGAGCACCTTGCAGAACTGAGCTCCTCTTACTCTTGCTGTGGTTTAGCCCACTCCCAGGGGTCAGTGGTCTTGAGAGGCCTTAGCTTGTTCCATCTATCCTGAGCCCTCAGTTTCACCTTGCTGTTCCCTGAGCCTCAGATGTTCTTCTCCACCCAACACCCCCACTGCGACTTTCACATGACTTGTTCAACAAATGCTACCTCATCAGAGAGGACTTCTTTCTCAACCACCCTGTCTAAAGTAACTGTCCTGTCATGCTCTGTCAGGTTCCAACTCATTTCTGCTTTATTTTTCTTTATAAAACTTATTATTGTTTGGAATTATGTTTTTATATGTCTACTTTTCTGGTGTTCATCTTCCCAGATGAACGTAAGGAGCATGAGGGCAGACCCAGTTTCCCTTGCTCATTGCTGAATTCCCAGCACCTAGAACAATGGGATTTTTGGAGTCAGATGACTGGTATACAGACTTGAGTTCACCACTTAGTAGACTCATGACCTTCAGCAAGTTAGCCATGCTGACCCCATGCCTCCACTTCCTCATCTGTAAATTGAGTAAAATACTAGTGCCCAGTGCACACTTAATTTATGGAAATTTTTGTTCAAATTAAATGAGATGATGCATATAACAGTATCTAACTCATGTAAGTTACACTAAAAATGATGTTATTTTTGCTATTGACATAAAATTTTTGCAAAAAGTTGAAGTTATTCAGAGATCTGATACTTTTGGAACTTTGGAGCCTTAAATGTTGTATTTGTCATAGGTTCTTGCTCATCGTGGTGGCTATTGGACTCTGCTTCAGAATTGCTGTCGGGCCTTTTGGAACTTTACTCAGGAACTACAAATACTTCTGAAACAGGGAGTGGATATTTATAAAACATTTCCTATTAGCCAAGATGATTTCCTCTGCACCTCTGTTTTGCCATTCTATTTGGGAGCAGAATTACTTATTGACATGCTAATAAGACTACAAAATACCAATTCTATTAAGGTAAGGAGACTTTTGTAATTATTTTTATTATATTCAGTTAAAAATATCTTTTTACTATGCATCTTGGTATAAGTAGAAAATGATACTTTTCTTGATTTCTCATTTGGTTTTGCTACATTTAATTTGCCTCTCATTATAATTTTGTTTACAATATGTAACTTGCATTGATGTTAACTAAAAATAGCCTAGCCTGAAACTTTAGTTTGTTGCAGGGAAGGAAAGTAACATTAACTGAACTCCAGCCCCTACGTAAATTAGCCTTAATGCACTTAATCCTTATACCAATTTTTTGACAGATAAAGAAATAGATTCCAAGGATGATCACATACCTTGAAAAAAGGTGTGATTGGTTGATCTTTATTCCACAGCTTTATCTGTCCTGTTCTATTATTCTAGTCTGCTGAATTTACAGCCATTTAAAATTTATCACACTGTGGTTTAAAGTGTGGAAGTAAAATAGAAGTAATATAACTGTAATATAACCTAAACACACTGAAAATTAGTAAACACATACACACGTTGAGCCATGAGGCTTAAAACATTTCTGGAGGAAAATATTTGGCAATGGCAGAAAAGATAAAGAGGGTAAATAAAAATAAACTATTAAGTTTTTTACACTTTATATAAAGTGATACAATATTAACTCTAAATGGAATGTGGTAAGTTAAGGATGCATTTAATGATCCCTTGAGTAACTAGTAAAACAGAGATATAGCTGAAAAGTCAATGAAGTAAAAGGGAAGCCTAAGTAATGCTCAATTAACTCAAAAGAAGGCAGGGAAGAAGGAACAGAGGAACAAAAAACATGGGACAGGCCAGGTGTGGTGACTCACTTCTGTAATCCCAGCACTTTCGGAGGCCAAGGCGAGCAGTTCTCCAGCCTGACCAACTAAAAATACAAAATTAGCTGGGTGGTGCATGCCTGTAATAATCCCAGCTTACTCGGGAGGCTGAGGCAGGTGAATTACTTGAATCCGGGAGACAGAGATTGAGGTGAGCCGAGATCACTCCACTGCACTCCAGCCTGGGCAACAAGAGCAAAACTCCATCTCAAAAAACAAACAAACAAACAACATAGGGCAAAGAGAAAACAAATAGAAAGCATTCACTCTAACTTAATGACATCAATAAAAATATTTAATATGACTGGGTTAAAGGTGCCAAATAAATGGTAGAGATTGTCTGACTGGATAGAGAAGCAAGACACATGTACCTGTCTACCAAGAGAAGCACTCTCAATATAAAGAAACAGGTAGATTGAAAATAAAAGTAGGAAAGAGATGTACCATGAGAACAGTAAAGATAAAAAAATTTGGTGAGTCTATGTTATTAGATAAGATATTATAAATCAAGGAGTATTATGAGAGATAAAGAGGGACATTTCGTGTTAAGAAGTGGCCCAATCAGGAAGATATACCAATTATAAATATGTATGCACCTAATAAGAAAAATTCAAAATACGTTCTGGACACCCACAGCTTGAAAAACTTCCTGGATGATAAACACATTGATATGTCAGGAGGGTGCCATGCCCTGAATCCACAGGGAGAGGGCATGGAAGCTCTGTGAGCCTCTCAGACTTCGCCCCATGAACCTCTTCATTAGGCTGTTCCTCAGTTCTCTTTACAGTAAAACTGTAATTGTAAGTACAGTGCTCTCAGTGAGTTCTGTGAGTCATTCTAGTGGGTTACCAAATTGAAGGGGTTATGAAAACCCCTGAATTTATAGTTGGTTGGTCAGAAGATTAGGTCACCTGAGACTTGTGGCTGGTATCTGAAGTAGGGGCAGTCTTATGGAGGCTGGAGCCCTTACATCTGTGGAGTCTAATGCTAACTCTGGGTAGTTAATGTCAAAACTGTGGTACAGTAAACCCAGGTGGAATGGAGACAGAGCACAAGTGCACATGGTGTGTTCACCACGATGGGTCATATGCAGAAATGCCAAAGACTGAACTCTTGAAGAGTATGTTCTTTGACCATTACAGAACTAAATTACAAACCGATTGCTGTAACATAGGAAGAAAAATCTCTAAGTATCTGAAAATTAAATAATACAATTCCAAATACCCCATGAGTCAAAAAAGAAAACACAAGAGAAACTAAAGAATATTTGAAACTAATAACAACACATCAAAATGTATGGCATTCAAATGAAGCAGGGCATAGAGGGAAATTTATAGCTTTAAATGTTTAATAGGAAAGAGAAAACGTAACATCAATTAAGTGTTTATACATTGAAAAAGAAGAGCAAATTAAATCTAAACTAAATAAAAAGAAAGGAAATAAAAAGAAATAAAGGAAATGATAACATAAATCATTTAGATAAATATAAAGCAAAAACAAAATTAATAAAGTCAAATTTGATCTTTTGAAGAGATAAATCTAGTATACTCATAGAAATACTGATGAAGAACAAAAGTGAGAAAAGCACAAATTACTGGTATTAGTGGTGGAGGAGGGACGTAATAACAAATCCTATAGATATTAAAAAAGGAAATATCAATTTTTGTTAACAAATTTGATAACTTAGGTGAAATAGACATATTTATTGAAAAGCACAACTTGATAATATGACACAAGAAGAAACAGAAAATACGAATTTCTCTAAGTTTACTAATTAACTTGTCTTCATAATCAGAAACCTTCACATAAAGAAAATGGCAGACCCACAACATTTCTCTGGGAAATTTGAGCAAACACACATGGAAGAAATAATAAATTTTATACCAATTATTTTTATTTGTGAAAATGTATGGGTATATGAGAAAATTTGTTACATGTATGATCAAGCCAGGGTATTTAGGGTGAAATCACCCGAGTACATACATTTTTGTGAAGTACCGTCATCCTACTGTATTAGATATTGCATTTATTACTTTTACTGTTCCTTTAACTTACTTGTCTTCATTCTCTCCTCTCCCCTCTAACTCCTACCCTTCCCAGTCTTTGTTATCTACCTGTCCATATGTTCACATTTGTTATGTTACCTTCCATATCTTACATATCTGTTATATGTTATCTTCAATATGTTCACATTTTTTAGCTGTCACATATAAGTGAGAGCATCCAATGTTGGTCTGTGTGTCTGGCTTACTTTATTTAATTTTTTTTTAAGACAGAGTCTTGCTCTGTTGCCAGGCACTAGGCTGGAGTGCAGTGGCCCAATCTTGGCTCACTGCAACCTCCACCTCCCAGGTTCAAGCAATTCTTCTGCCTCAACCTCCCAAGTAGCTGAGACTACAGGCGTGCACCACCATGCCCAGCTAATTTTTGTATTTTAGTAGAGACGGGGTTTCACTGTGTTGGCCAGGGTGGTCTCGGTCTCTTGACCTCATGATCCACCTGCCTCAGCCTCCCAAAGTGCTGGGTGTGAGCCACTGTGACTGGTCCCAATTTTTTTTTTTTTAGAAATAAGACCAGCTTAACCCTAACAGATATCAACTGGAAAAGTATGAACTAATACCCTCATGAACATAGACACAAAACTTTTAAATGAAATATCAGCAAATCATTTATAGCAATTTATAGAACGTGCAAATAATGATATATGTAAAAATATACAAATATATGCAAATGATAATTAGATAGGGTTTATCCCAGAAATGTAAGATTAACATTTGAAAATCAGGCCAGAAGTGGCAGCTCATGCCTGTAATCCCAGCACTTTGGGAGGCCAAGGCAGGTGGATCACCTTAGATCAGGAGTTTGAGATCAGCCTGACCAACATTCTGAAACCCTGTCTCTACTAAAAATTCAAAATTAGCCAGGTATGGTGGTAGATGCCCGTATTCCCAGCTATTTGGGAGGCTGAGGCAGGAGAATCACTTGAACCTAGTAGGCATAGGTTGCAGTGAGCTGAGATCATGCCATTGCATTCCAGCCTGGGCAACAAGAGTAAACCTCCTTCTCAAAAAAAAAGAAACTCAATCAATATAATTTACCATATTAAGAGGTGATATGGTTTGGCTGTGTCCCCACCCAAATCTCATTTTGAATTCCCAAGTGTTATGGGAGAGATCTGGTGGGAGATAATTGAATCATGGGGCAGGTCTTTCCCATGCTGTTCTCATGATAGTGAATAAGTCCCATGAGATCTGGTGGTTCTATAAGCTGGAGTTTCCCTGCACAAGCTCCCTCTCTTTGCCTATGGCCATCCATGTAAGATGTGACTTGCTCCTCCTTGCCTTCCGCCATGATTGTGAGACTTCCCCAGCCATGTGAAATTGTGAGTCCATTAAACATCTTTCTTTTTTAAATTGCCCAGTCTTGGATATGTCTTTATCAGCAGCATGAAAACCAACTAATACAACAAGATAAAGGAGAAAAAGTGTATGGCCATTGACATAGATGCATCAAAAGCATTTGCAGAATTTAGAGTCCATTCATGTTAAATCTCAGCAAACTAGGAATAGAAAATTTTTTTCAAACTAATAAAGAGTATCTACAGATAACTTAATGCTTAATGGTGAAATGTTATGAGCTTCTTTGTAAGAATGAGAACAAAGCAAGGATGTTGGCTCATAGCATTTTTATTCAACATCATGCCAGAAATCCTGGCCATTGCAATAAGGCAAGACAAAGAAACAGAAGGCATGCAGATTAGAAATTAGAAAGGAAGAAATACAACAGTTTTTATTTGTGGACAACATAATTTTTTACGTAGAGAATTCTAACTCTTCAATACTCTGGAAAGCAATGATTAGAACTAAAAAAAAAGTGGCAGGATATAAGGTTAATATACAAAACTAAATTGTATTTCTATGTACTGGCAGAAAATAATTAGAAAATGAAAACGTAAAAACAATTTCATTTAAAATATTACCCAAAATATCAGTATCTAGAAATATGTATAATAAAATTTACACAATATTTCTACATTGAAAACTGTGAGATACTACAAAAAACTAAAGAAGACTTAAATAAATAAATAGATTAATATTAATTACTCTATTATTCCCAATTTGATTTGTTGATTCAATGAACTCTTAGTGAAAATCCCAACAGGCATTTCTTGGAGTATAAATTAACAATTCATTTTAAAATTTATAAGAAAATGCAAAAAAAATGTGAATGGCCAAAAAAAATTTTTGTTTAAAGAACAAATTTGGAGGACTCACTATCTATATGATATCAAGGCTTACTAAAGCTACAGTAATTAGGAGAGTATGATACTGACTTAAAGAGAGAAATATATCAATGGAACAAATAGAGAATCTGAAAATAGACACATGCATATGGTTCTTTTTTCCACCAAAGGAGTCAAAGCAATTCAGAGTTTTCAAAAATAACTGTAACTCTAGGGTCTAGATTGTTGCCTTTAAAACCCATTTATCACTAAAGGAAACAAGGCTTCTTTGGAAAAAAGAATGCTTGACTACCTTACCTTTTATATGAACTATATCTGAGGATGATGAAATAGTTGATGAAGGGGAATTTTTCTTTACAAAAGCATCCAGGTAATAAATGAAAGGATGTTGGAATTAGACTGTCAGGATTCTTAATGAATGAATTGAAGGATCCAGAGCAACTTATGGAGTGTACTTGCCAAAAAACATAAATCTAATTGGAATCAGAATATTTACATTTATCCAACAATTTGTAGAAAATACAGTGGACAGAAGAACATTTTATATGAAATTACAGGGATATCCTCAGTAAAATTCTGACTTTGGGGATGCTACAGGACAAATGATCTGATTTCTTTAACAAAAAATTTAATAATAAAGGAGGAGATGAAATCTATAAATTAAAAAAGACAAGAGAAATAATCAATTCCAGTGTTTGGACCTTATTTTAATCTCACTAACACATACAGTTAAGAAATACAAAGTTGTTAAGACAATAAGGGAAATATAAACACTCTTCAGTGGAATTATTCAATAATGATTTAAAGGAACTTCTGCTAATTTCTTTATTTTTTAAGTAGGCTTATAGAATTGTGGTTATGTTTTTGTAAAACTAATTTTTGTTTTTAGAGTTACATGCTAAAGTATTTATAGATTAATTAATGTAATTTTGGGGATATAATTCAAAATAGTGGGGCAAGTGGATATGTCCTAAGAGTTTATTGAAGCTGGTGGTGGGCACATGGGCTTCATTTTATTATTTTTCCTACTTCTTTAAGTGTTGGAAATTTTCTTTAATAAAAACGTTTTTTAAAAAATCACACATGGTCCTGTAGAGTTCCCATAGTCTGAATTTTATTGAGTATATTCCCATAATTTCATTAAAAATATTCTTCTGTTTACTGTATTTAAAAAAAATATATATATATCTTATTGCACTTTAGGTTCTGGGGTACATGTGCAGAACATGCAGAACTGTTGCATAGGTACATACATGTCAAGGTGATTTACTGTCTCCATCTCCCTGTCATCTATATCTGGCATTTCTCCCCATGCTATCCCTCCCCAACTTCCCTACTCCATGCTGTCCCTCCCCTGTGCCCCCACAAACAGACCCCAGTGTGTGATACTCCCCTCCCTGTGTCCATGTGTTCTGATGGTTCAACACCTGCCTATCAGTCAGAACATGTGGTGTTTGATTTTCTATTCTTGTGTCAGTTTGCTGAGAATGATGGTTTCCAGATTCATTCATGTCCCTACAAAGGACACAAACTCATCGTTTTTTATGGCTGCATAGTATTCCATGGTGTATATGTGCCACATTTTCCCTGTCCAGTCTATCATTGATGGGCATTTGGGTTGATTCCAGGTCTTTGCTATTGTAAACAGTGCTGCAATGAACATACGTGTGCATGTTTCATTATAATAGAACAATTTATAATCCTTTGGATATATACCCAGTAATGGGATTGCTGGGTCAAATGGAATTTCTATCTCTAGGTCCTTAAGGAATCACCACACTGTCTCCCATAATGATTGAACTAATTTACACTCCCACCAACAGTGTAAAAGTGTTCCTATTTTTCCATGTCCTCTTCAGCATCTGTTGTCTCCAGATTTTTTTAATGATCACCATTTTAACTGGCATGAGATAGTATCTCAATGTGGTTTTGATTTGCATTTCTCTAATGACCAGTGATGATGAGCATTTTTTCATATGTTTGTTGGCCTCATATATGTCTTCTTTTGAAAAGTGTCTGTTCATGTCCTTTGCCCACTTTTGAATGGGTTTGTTTGTTTTTTTCTTGCAAATCTGTTTTAGTTCTTTGTAGATTCTGGATATTAGTCCTTTGTCAGATGGATAGATTTGCAAAAATTTTTTTCCATTCTGGTGATTGCCGGTTCACTCTACTGGTTGTTTCTTTTGCTGTAAAGAAGCTCTGGAGATTAATTAGATCCCATTTGTCTATTTTGGCTTTTGTTGCCAATGTTTTTGGTATTTTATTCATGAAGTCCTTGCCTATGCCTATGTCCTGAATGGTTTTGCCTAGGTTTTCTTCTAGGGTTTTTATGGTGTTAGGTCTTATGTTTAAGTCTTTAATCCTCTGGAGTTAATTTTAGTGTAAGGTGTCAGGAAGGGGTCCAGTTTCTGCTTTCTGCACATGGCTAGGCAGTTTTTCCAGCACCATTAAATAGGGAATCCTTTCCCCATTGCTTGTTTTTGTAAGGTTTGTCAAAGATCAGATGGTTTTAGATGTGTGGCGTTGCTTCCGAGGCCTCTGTTCTGTTCCATTGGTCTATATCTCTGTTTTGGTACCAGTACCATGCTGTTTTGATTACCGTAGCCTTGTAATATAGTCAGGTAGCATGATACCTCCAGCTTTGTTCTTTTTGCTTAGGATTGTCTTGGCTATGCAGGCTTGTCCACTGTATTTTTTAATGAATTGTTGTATAAATGCAAGTATTCTATCTGATTCTAGTTAGATTTATGTTTTTTGGCAAAAGCTTCAAAACTTAAAAAGAGTCTGACCTTGCCTATGCCAGAAACCTTAATCTCTATATGCTATTTTGAGCTCCAAATGTCAATCTTGTTTATTTCTCAGTGTTGTTTATTTCTCAATGTCGCCAAATTTAGGAGATCAATAGATTATTTTCTTTTCCCCCCTCTTTTGGATTGGGACCAACTGAGAGATGGGTGATGATGAAGACATGTGAGATAAAATATCAGGTTCGTTTTTTTTTTTTTTTTTTTTTTTTGAGATGGAGTGTCCCTCTTGTTGCCCAGGTTGGAGTGAAATGCATGATCTTGGCTCACTGCAACCTCCCACCTCCCGGGTTTGAGCCATTCTCCTGTCAGCCTCCTGAGTAGCTGGGATTATAGGTATATGCTCCCACCCCTGGCTAATTTTGTATTTTTAGTAGAGACAGCATTTGTACATGTTGGTCAGGCTGGTCTCAAACTCCCAACCTCAGGTGATCCACCTGTCTTGGCCTCTGTAAGTGCTGGGATTATAGGTGTGAGCCACTGTGCCTGGCCCTCAGCTTTGTTGTTGATAAACACTATATTGGAAGCTGTAATAACTACAGAGAACTTCCCTGTCCTTCATCCCAGAAATAAGGCATAGGCATGACTAACAGATAGCAGATCTGTGCTCCTAGAAGACTTCCTCTAGAATCAGTGAATTACAGGGGTTGAACTTATAACATAAATAAAATGTCAACTACGCTTTAAAAGTATGTCCCATGTGCAGGGCACTGTGCTAAGGAAGCAAATTCACATAAGTCTCTGGTGCTATGCCTACTATTCACACCTATACAGCCTGACTTCAGGTATGCATACTGCATTTCACAGCCAGATGGCTTCTGAAGTCTCTTCTAACTTCAAAGACTACAGCTCTTGTTAGAGGTGATGTTTATCCTCCACTTGTGTTAATTACTTCCCACCCCTGCACATAGGTTACTTTTAATGGTATTATTGGGATGGGAAGGCTGGACTTGAGTTACCCGACTGTTTTGGGCTATAATCTGAGCCTTAGGTGGATCTAAGAGGCTTTGTTTTGCCTTAAGAATTAAATGTGTCAGGAACTCATAGGAAGTGAATACTATCGACATAGTGACTTTTTTTTTTTTTTGAGACGGAGTCTCTCTGCTGCCCATGCTGGAGTGTAGTGGCATGATTTTGGCTCACTGCAACCTCTGCCTCCTGTGTTCAAGTGATTCTCCTGCCTCAGCCTCCCAAGTAGCTGGGACTACAGGCATGTGCCACCACGGCCAGCTAATTTTTTATATTTTTAGTAGAGACGAGATTTCATCATGTTAGTCAGGGTGGTCCTGATACCCTGACCTCATGATCTGCCCACCTTGGCCTCCCAAAGTGCTGGGATTACAGGCATGAGCCACCGTGCCCGGCCTGTAACATAGTAACTCTTTAGTGTCTCCTCATTGCTTTCCTCCTCCATAGATATGACATTTGCATCTAGGAATGGACATATTATTGTATAAATTAACGACTGTAACCAATGTATTAGGGAACTTCATTATGTGTTTATAGTAAAGTCTGTTTTTTTCTAAAAATCATACCTTATTGATTTCATGTCCTTACTTAAATGGATAGTGACTGTGTATCAAGAACTGTAGAACATAGTCTGTGCGTCCAACATGGTAAACATTAGCCATATGTGACTATTTAAATTTAAACTTGAATTAATTAAAATGAAATGAAAGTAATTCAGTTGTACTAATCACATTTCAAAAGCTTGGTAGCTGCAGGTGTCCAGTGGCTATGGGGAATGATAATGAACAGCACAAATATATATATCACATTTCTATCACCGCAGCAAGTTTTTTGGATAATACTGCATCAAATTATTAAGCTTTGACTTGCATAAGGAAAATATTTTTTTCTTTTCAGTTCAATTCTTTTCCATGTTACATTTTTATCACATTCAGTTTTCAGACAACATATGGAGTAAAATCTGAAATGGTGCATTGTTTTTCACTGTGCTACTTGCAGCCTGTTGAAGACAAAGGAGAATTCAGTGATCCAAGTTGTTACGGGAATATTAAAAATGATAACGGTGGTTCTAGTCTTATATTTGAGCATCCTTTAGATGATGTAAATGTGGTTGATTTGAAATGGATCCACGACTTTGCTTTAAAATCCCTGGAAGTTTTATATCAAGTGGAAAAATGGGAAACACTAGTATCGCTTGCCATTCAGTTCAATACAATTTCACAGTAAGTAGTGCTGTAAGGGCAATTAAAAGTAACAGACTTCAATGAAAAAAAAAGTCTTTTAACTGACGTTTTCTTTGTAATGTGTTCTTTACCCCTGTCTAGTGAGAGGTATACAGAACAAGTGACACCACTCCTGGTGTATGCACAGCGCCAGCTTCTGCTGAGAATACACAAGTTCAAGGGCCCAGATATTACTCAACAACCTTGTGCAAGGTATGAGGCTGAATATGGAGAGAAGGTAAGTTTAAGTTCTATTATTCATGATGCTGTGATTTCTAATTAGTCCACATATAGAATACAAAGATTTAGAAATGAGGTAAATATTACTATTTCTGCTTTAGTATTAGTATCTCTACTTACTGGCATTTATCATTCAAATTGACAAACTTTATTGAGAGCCTGCGATCAAGGCAAACAGGAACTAAGTCCTTGTCCTCAAGAAGCTCATATCAGGTCAAAGCAAACTTAGCCACAAGCACAATGGCAATGGTGTGTAGAGCCCATGATTTTTTTTTTTTTTTTTTTTTTGTAGACTGAGTCTTGCTCTGTTACCCAGGCTGGAGTGCAGTGGCATAATCTCGGCTCACTGCAACCTCTACCTCTTCCTTAGTGCGTTGATTCAGTCTGTGGCTCTAAGTACATCTCTATGATGATGACTTTTGAAATTATATCTCCACTCTAGATCTTTTTTCTAAATTTTGTGTTGATATATCTAACTGCCTGTATCAGCCAGGGTTCAAATAGAGGAGCAAAACTAGTAAGACACGTCTATTTTATCTATGGAGGGGAAAAAATAAATTCAGTGTCTTTCACTATTCCCTTACAACATGATTCTGATACCAGATGTGTGGGGATTTCTTCTCACCCCTAAGCAAGAAATCAGTTCCGTAGTGGATACCAGCTGGGTGTCTTTCTGTTTTTGAGATGGAGTTTCTCTCTTGTTGTCCAGGCTGGAGTGCAATGACATGGACTCGGCTCATTGCAACCTCCACCTCCTGGGTTCCTGAGTGTCTTTCAATTCAGTTTCTACACAGTCTACCTGGAGATACCATCAGATCTGGATTTTTTGTGGTAGTTTCATTACGGAAGCATAATTGATTAAATCACCGGCCGTTGGTGATCAACTTAAACTTCCGACCCTCTCTCCTTTGCAGAGGTTGGGGAGTAGGGCTGAAAATTCTTATCCTGCCATGGTCTTTCTAGTGAGCAGCCCCCATCCTGAAGCTACCTAGGGGCTGTCATTCAACTTATTCGCATACAAAAAGACACAACTTTGGAGATTCCAAGGATTTTTAGGAGTTGTATGTCAAGCAACAAAGACAAGACCAAATGTATATTTTACAATATCACATCTGTCTAGCCAGCTACCTAGCTGGCTATCCATCAAAGGATTTACTACAAGAATTTGGCTTATATGATTGTGGGGGCCAGCTAAGCAAGCTTCAGATCCATAGGGCAGACAGTCAAGATCATGAACAGGAAGGAACCTAGGTAGACAGAGGCTATGACTCATAGGCAGTCAGTGAGGGAAGATCCAGCCAGGTAGAGGACAGTTGTAGAAGCAGCTGCCGCTGGTGCTTGAAGTCCTGGACGCTGCAGGCAGGTCAGAATCATCTGCTTAGGTCAGGTCCCCGAGGGTAATCTCCCTTGTTTCAAGTCATTTTAATTAGTATCTGCAAAATCCTTTCACAGTAGCACCTAGTTTGATTGAATAACTGGGATGAAGTGTCTGTATGTTCGAAAATGGATGCTTCCCTCCCTTTCCTCCTCATAGTTTAGCCCTAACCAAGCTGATCCATTACAAAACCACCACACTGCCCAATCAACATCATTTCTTAGTTGAGGAATACACTTCTTAAATTTAGCACATCTCGCACAAACCTGTTCTGCTAAGTCTTCAGTCAATGATGAGCCTTTCCTGGCTGCCAGACACTTGGAGACATCCCTGCCTCCTCTCTTGCTCTCACACCCCACTTCCAACTGGCTACCAAATGCTCAACACACAATCCATATTGGAAGACTGCTCACCAGCTCCAACATTCCCTCTTTAAAATACTATATAATATACCTCACTATTTGTTTATTATCCAAGCCCTTGTTGTATTTGCTTGGGCTAATGCAGCAACCTCTTAATCATCCTGCACCCCACTTTCAGCCTATGTTCTTTTTGTTGTTGTTTTGAGATGGAGTCTCACTCTGTCACCCAGGCTGGAGTACAGTGGAGTGATCTCACCTCGCTGCAACCTCTGCCTCCCAGGTTGAAGCAATTTTCATGCCTCTGCCTTGTGGGTACTTGAGATTATAGGCGGGAGCCACCACAACTGGCTGATTTTTGTATTTTTAGTAGAGATGGGATTTCACAGTGTTGGCCAGGTTGGTCTTGAACTCCTGACCTCAGATGATCCTCCTGCCTTGGTTTCCTAAAGTGCTGGGATTACAGGTGTGAGCCACCACACACAGGCTATAATCTATTCTTAATGCAGCAGATACAGTGACCCTTAAAACCTAAATCAGGTTCTGTCACACCTCTATTTAAAACCCTATGGTGACTTCTCACCATATTAGGAGTAAAGTGAACATCTTTCTCATGGCCTTAATATAACTTATCCTACATAATGTATGCCCCGATCTCTCTAGTAACCCCTATCCTATGACTCCCCCGTGAGTTTTAACTGCACTGTTCTTTAAAGTGTTTCTCCCTCAGGGTCTTTGCATTTGCTATTGCCCCTGCTGGGAGTGCTCCTCCCAAACATCCATATTGAATCCCCCACCTTTCCCAGTCTTTGCTAAATGTTACATTCTCTGTTAGGCCTTTCCTCTCTACCTTTTTACAGCTCTGTGCCTTTTTGCTCTATGTCTCTCTAGAGTATTTACAATTCTTTAATATACTGTATAATGTGCCTCACTATTTGTTCATTATCTCTCTTCTCCCACTAAGACGTTTCACAAGAATAGGAGTTTTTGTTTATTTTGTTCTCTGCTTCATCATCCCTTCTTCTTATAACAGTGTTTGGCACAAAACAGGTGTTCAGTAAAGATCCGTTTAATGAAGCTGGTGAAATAGGAAAGACTAGATCAAGTAGGACCTTAAGAGGTTGTGGGGAAGAGTTTGTATTTTATTAGGCTGCATTTATATCTCATTATAAAAGTACCCACAAGGGACAATAAAGAAGAAGCATCTACATCAGACTGGGGTTCCAGGAGGGCTGTATTTGAGTGGTAGGTTAGTTCAAGGGATAGGAGTGAAGAAATGGAGAGAAGAGGGTCTTGAGCCCTTTAAAATAAATTTTTTCTTTTAAAAACTTTTCTGTTTTCAGATATTTTATTATCTTAGGACTCATGTATCTGTTAGAAATAAATTATCAAAATACTATAGAGGAAGTTAGTTCTGAAAAACTTCACCAGGGAAATTAAAATGGCATTAATTATAAGTAGGGTGGAAAAATCTGCCATTGGGAAAGCAGATTATATTTTAACTTATATAATAGAAGATATATTTAGACCAGAGAATTTGTAGAATATTAGCAAATCATATTCTAATTGCTCTACATAATTTGCCTAACATTCTTCCAGCTGTGCTCTACAAAAGAAATATGAAAAATTATGGAGCTGCTTTTTTCCTGAAAGTTCTCATGATTAGACACTATTCTGCCAGCTTTTATTTGTAGCATTGTTATATATCTCTTTATTTTGATAAATAAAAAATGAGAGAAACATTACAAGTAAGCCAAATTTTAACTATAAATACAGGACTAATATTTGTTTTCATCTTTCTTTTTAAAGATAACCTGCCGAAATTTTGTTGGGAAGCAACTTAAGATTAATTCTTCAACCACTGAAGAAACAAGCAACTGCACAGATTTACTAAAAATGCTCATCTATTCAGGTCAGACCAATCTTAGCTTGAAGGTTTATTTTCTCTAAATCAAGGTTTGCCATTGTTTTCTGCAAGTCAAATCTTCCTTAATTAGGATGTTTGTAAAAACTTCTTTTGCAGGTTTAGTTGACTGAAAATAATGCATTTGATTTTTACCATCTGATGCTGCTGTAAATGTTACCTAAGGCGAATTAAAACACGTTTATTTTTATTTTAAACGTTTAAGTTCAGGTGTCCATGTGCAGGTTTGTTACAGAGGTAAACTTGTGTCATGGGGGCCCATTGTACAGATGATTTCATCACTCAGCTATTAAGCCTAGTACGCTTTAGTTATTTTTCCTGATCCTCTCCATTCTCTTCACCCTCTGACGTCCCTATTGTGTGTTGTTCCCCTCTATGTGTACATGTGTTCTTATTATTTAGCCCCTACAGATAAGTGAGGACATGTGGTATTTTGTTTTCTGTTCCTGCATTTGTTTCCTCTAGCTTCATCCATGTTCCTGCAAAGGACATGATCTCATTCTTTTTTATGGCTGCATAGTATTCCATGGTGTGTATGTCTCACATGTTCTTTATCCAGTCTATTATTGATGGGCATTAAGAGTCATTCCACACCTTTGCTAATTGCTGTACAGTTTGTCTAATGTTCTTCCAGATGTGCTCTATAAAAGGGTACATGTGTCTTTATAATAGAACAATTTATATTATTTTGGAGTTACACACACACACACCCAGTAATGAGATTGTTAGGTGAAATGGTATTTCTGTCTTTAGGTCTTTGCAGAATTGCATCACTGTTTTCCACAATGGTTGAACTAGTTTACACTTCCACTAACAGTGTATAAGCATTCCTTTTTCTCCACAACCTTGCCAGCATCTGTTATGTTTTGATTTTTTACTAACAGCCAGTCTGACTGGTGTGAGATGTTATCTCATTGTTGTTTGATTTGCATTTCTCCAGTGATCAGTGATACGGAGCTTTTTTTCATATGATTGTTGGCCACATGTATGTTCTTTTTTTGAGAGGTGTCTGCTTATGTCTTTTGCCCTCTTTTTAATGGTTTTTTTTTTCTTGTAAATTTGTTTAAGTTCCTTATCGATGCTGGATATTAGACCTTTGTTGGATGCATAGTTTGAAAACATTGTCTCCCATCTGTATATCTGTTTACTCTGTTAATAGTTTCTTTTGCTGTGCAGAAGCTATTTAGTTTAATTAGACCCCATTTGTCAATTTTGCTTTTGTTGCAATTGCTTTTGACATCTTCGTTATGAAATCTTTGCCTGTGCCTATATCCTGATGTGGTATTGCCTAGGTTGTCTTCCAGGGTTTCTATAGTTTTGGGTTTTGCAATTAGGTCTTTAATGCATCTTGAGTTAATTTATGTAAATGGTGTAAGGAAGGGGTTTAGTTTCAATCTTTTGCATGTGGCTAGCCAGTTATCCCAACACCATTTATTTAATAGGGAATTTTTTGCTATTGCTTGTTTTGTCAAGTTGTTGAAGATTAGATAGTGTAGATGTGTGGTTTTATTTCTCAGCTCTCTATTTTGTTCTACTGGTCTATGTGTCTCTTTTGTATCAGCACCATGCTGTTTTGATTACTGTAGCCCTGTAGTTTAGTTTGAAATCAGGTAGTGTGATGTCTCCAGCTTTGTTCTTATTGCTTAGGATTGCCTTGGCTATTCAGGCTCTTTTTTTGGTTCTATATGAATTTTAAAATAGTTTTTCCTTGTTCTGTGAAGAATCTCATGGTACTTTAATAGGAATAGCAGTGAATCTATAAATTTCTTTAAGCAGTATGACTGTTTTAATGATATTGATTCTTCCTCTCCATTGGATGGAATGTTTTTCCATTTGTTTGTGCCATCTCTGATTTCTTTGAGCAGTGGTTTATAGTTCTTGTAGAGATCTTTTATCTCCCTATTTAGCTGTATTCCTAAATATTTTATTCTTTTTGTAAACTGCATTTTTATAAAGTTTAATCTATAAGTTAGATAAGAGAAATAAAAGGAAAAGGGAAATAAATCGATTGAGAAAAAAGAAAGATGGAAAAAGGTTGTTTTGCACATTTTTTTTCTTGTTTTTATCTTACTTATGAATGCTTTTGCTATTTGGCCTTTCGCTATTTTATTTATTCTGTTTCGACTCCCATAACAACTCTGATTTCCCTAATTAATATAGATTATTCTATTGGTTTTGCTATGTTTAAGTTGTGGATCTTTTAACTAGAGCACAGGAGAAGATTTGGGAATGTCATGACTTCTTTGCTTTTAGCTGATAAGCCCTGGATTAGTCTGTTTTCATGCTGCTTATAAAGATGTACCTGAGACTGGATAATTTATGAAGAAAAAGAGGTTTAATGAACTCACAGTTCCAGATGGCTGGGGAGGCCTCACAATCACGACAGAAGGCAAAGGAGGAGCAAAGTCACATCTTACCTAGTGGCAGGCTGGAGAGCATGTGCAGTGGAGCTGTCCTTTATGAAAACATCAGATCTCGCCTGACTTATTTACTATCACAAGAACAGCATAGGAAAACTCACCCCCATGATTCAGTTACCTCCCACTGGCTCCCTCCCACAACATGTGGGGATTATGGAAGCTACAATTCAAGATGAGATTTGGGTGGCGACATAGCCCCAGTCCTCTCCCAAATCTATGTCCTCACATTTCAAAACCAATCATGCCTTCCCAACAGTCTCCCAAAGTCTTAATCATTTCAGCCTTAACTCAGAAGTCCACAGCCCAAAGTCTCATCTGAGACAAGGCAAGTCCCTTCAGCCTATGAGCCTCTAAAATCAAAAGCAAGTTAGTTACTTCCTAGATACAATGAGGGTACAAGCTCTGGATAAATACACCCATTCCAAATGGGAGAAATTAGCCAAAATAAGCAAATCTAAAATCCAATAGGGCAGTCATTAAACCTTAAAGTTCCAAAATGATCGCCTTTGACTCCATGCCTTACGTCCAGGTCATGCTGATGCCAAGAGGTGGGCTCCCATAGCTTTGTGGGTTTGCAGGGTATGCAAACCCTGCTTTCACAAGCTGGCGTTGAGTTTCTGTGACTTTTCTGGGTGCACAGTGCAAGCTGTCAGTAGATCCTATCATTTTGAGGTCTGGAAGATAGTGGCATTCTACTTACAGCTCCACTACGCAGCGCCCCAGTGGGGACTCCGTGTGAGGGCTCCAACCCCACATTTCCCTTCTGACTGCTCTAGCAGAGGTTCTCCATGAGGGTCCCACCCCTACGGCAAACTTTTGCCTAGATATTTAGGTGTTTCTGTACATCCTCTGAAATCTAGGTGGAGCTTCCCAAATCTCTATTTTTGACGTCTGTGCACCTGCAGACTCAACACCATGTGGAAACTGCCAAAGCTTGGGGCTTGCATCCTCTGAAGCCATGGTCTGAGCTGTGCCTTAACCCCTTTTAGCTGTGGCTAGAGAGGCTGGGATGCAGGGCATCAAGTCCCTGCTCTGCACATAGCAGTGGGCCCTTGACCTGGCCCAGGAAATCATTTTTCCCTCATAGGCCTCTGGGGGCCTGTGATGGGAGGGGCTGCTGCAAAGCTCTCTGACATGATGTGGAGACATTTTCACCATTGTCTTGGTGATTAACATTTAGCTTCTTGTTACTTATGCAGATTTCTGCAGTCTGCTTGAATTTCTCCTCAGAAAATGGTTTTTTTCTTTTGTACTGCATTGTCAGGCTGCAAATTTTCCCATTTTTTGTGCTCTGTTACCTCTTGAATGCTTTGCTGCTTAGAAATTTCTTCTGCCTGATACCCTAAATCATCTCTCTTACCTTCAAAATTCCACAGATCTCTAGGGCAGGGGCAAAATGCTGCTAGTCTCTTTGCATAGCAAGAGTGACCTTTACTCCAGTTTCCAACAAGTTCCTCATCTGCACCTGAGACCACTTCAGCCTGGACTTTGTTGTCCACGTCACTATCAGCAGCATTTTGGACAAAGCCATTCAACAAGTCTCTAGGAAGTTCCAAACTTTCCCACATCTTCATTTCTTCTGAGCCCTCTAAGTGTCTAGGAATTTCCAAATTTTCCCACATTTTCATGTCTTCTGAGCCCTCCAAAGTGTTGCAACCTCTGCCTGTTACCCAGTTCCATAGTTGCTTTCACACTACCTGGTACCAATTTACTGTATTAGTCTATTCTCACGCTGCTAATAAAGACATATCAGAGACTGGGTAATTTATAAAGAAAAAGAGGTTTAGTCAACTCAGTTTCGCATGACTGGGGAGGCCTCACAATCATAGTGGAAGGCAAAAGAGGAGCAGAGGCACATCTTATATGGCCACAGGCAAGAGAACACGTGCAGGGGAACTCCCATTTATAAAACCATCAGATCTCATGAGACTTATTTGCTATTACAAGAACAGCAGGGGAAAGACCTGCTCCCATGATTCAATTACCTTCCACTGGGTCACTCCTATGATACATGGGGATTATGGGAGCTAAAATTCCAGATGAGATTTGGGTAGGGAGATAGCCAAACTATATCAAGCCCTTTTGGAATGTTTTCGGCCATGCAACTTGTAGGAATGATGCAATAGAATGAGATGAAAATGGAAATAATGTCTTCTCTAAATTGCACTTTTCATGTGTCTCTGTTTCTGGTATCAAAAAGCCATGTAAGTCTTCCCTTTGAAGTGTTAGAATTCTTTCACTTATTTATCTATTCATTTTATGTGTGTGTATGTGTATAAGTGTAAGCATTCATTCATTTATTTTTGGAGGCAGTCAGCTAGTCATTTAGTCATTCAGCAAACATTTACTGAGTATCTACTAAGTGTGAAGTGCTGTACTAGGTTCTGAGAATATAAAGATGAATGAGACTAAAGATTTGTTTCCTGGGAGTTTATGGTTCATTAAAGGAGATGAATTGAAAACCCAGAGATTATAGTATAGAGTGATAAGATACTTAATGTTATTACTACTAGTGGTAAATTATATCCTCAGGTTATGTAGAGCATAAACCTGAGGATGGCCTCCTGG